AAAAGAACAGACTTGTTATCAAGGTGACAAAAGTCTTGGGTTTAATCGCGACTCGAGAGGATCTGTTGATACTTTCTGTGAGATTCAAGGACTCGTGACGTTGAAATTGCGTGTAAAATGTCAAAAGGAGGAGGAGAAAGAGAAGTCACAGAAGCATCTTTGGGGAGTGGCTTAAAGAAGAAGGAAAGAACGCATCGTGTATAAGGAAAACTTCTCGCTCCAAACCGGTAATATGTAGGATAATTTATAGAAAAAATTTATAATTTGTATAATCGTATCTGACTACGTAAGATGTTAAGTTTTAATTTAATAGGAAACTCTCCCTCTCTCTAAATCGATAATACGGTATAACTTGTATGGAAAATTTTATAATTTATATAAATGCATGTGTGCATAAAGCATGTTAAATTTTAGTTTGTTAAAAGCTCTCTCTAAACCGGTGACATCGTATAATTTAAAGAACTTTGCGTGTGTAAGAACAAACTGTCAAGATTACTCTGTCAGCCGTGTCGATAATATCCTGAAAAAGAAAAGAGATAAAAATAGTCTAGTTTATGTCATATAGTGGTATCAGATACATTCCAAGGCCGACGATTCGATTTCCTCCAGAAGTTACTCGTTTCGTTCCACTAAATATAAAGGACGCGTACCGTTCGTTGGAATAATTTTCGAGCGGCTTTTTTCAAGCGGAGAATACTAATCGCGATACAATCGCGAGTCGTTAACTCGTACGCCGTCGCTTTCGTAACAATCCGGAAGTAGATCAAAGACGGTCTCGTTGCGAGATAAGTCGCGGAAAGAAACACGTGTTTGTATGCCGATTAAATGCGCCAGCGCGCGCGAGGACGACTCGTCGCGAAAACCTTACGTGATTTTTCGACGCGTGTCGTTCGTTTCGGTGCTCTCCGACAACGATCTGAAATTCGCTCAATTTTGCGCAGATTTGGAAGTACGCGCGCGGAAGAACGGTCTTTCAATACAAAATTGAAAAAAGAGAAAAGAAGACGCATTTCGCGCAATTTCTACATGTTATCTGTGTGATTCAGCCAGGAAGATTATCATTTATCGCGCTTTTCTTCATCTTGACTCCGATACTAAAATTCAATTAGCTCATTCTTATCGTACGACGCATTAGGATACATCTGTAGTCGTTAGATTCGAAGATAATCACAATAAAAATCGTGATATTACTATCATAATATGTAAATAAGATTACGTTTGGAAAGTAACATATTACGTAGTATACAAGTTTCTTGCATGAACGAATTCGGACGAACGGAGAGAAAGTACTTCGAGAATAGACACGAAGGTGCAATTAATTCTGAGATTCGTCAACTCGAAATGCGTAAAAACAAATATAAACATAAGAATAATAAAATCTTCCCTAAGAGAATAAAAATAACGGAAAAAGAAGAAGGTAAAAACAGAGAAAAAGAATGACAAAAGAAAGAAGGAAGCAAATAGGAAAATTTGTTTAATATTTGAGGCTTTCATGCTTCTTTTAGTTACCGAGTTGGAGCTACGTTCTCTTTTGTGAATCTGATTCCAACGTCACGTGAAAATTTCAGTTTGTTTCATCGGTAACAGGTTTGGGAAGTAACTCGCATTACTTGTAACGCCGTAACCGTTAAAATTACTTTTTTTCAATAAGAATCGTTATCTTTTTTAACATTAAAAATATCAATGACAGGACATATCTACGTTCTTATTATTCCAGAGTCTTTAAATCCGAATATTTAGGTCTTTAATGCAGAATATACAGGGTGTCCCAGGCAAATCCCCCAGGCAAATATCTCGAAAAATATGGAAGATACGGAAAATCATTCCAGACAAAAGTTGCATGGTTTTAAGGGGGACATAAAACTATATCAGTTTGTTTACAGATAACGCCACTTTCGAGATATTTATTGATCGTTACTTTTCTTAAACGGAAATCCCATTTTTTTATTATATCATCTTTTTCTATCAATTATTTTGAACAACTTTTGTCTGAAACATTTTTTTATTTGCCTAATATTTGTTGAGATATTTAAGGAAAACTTGGTATTTAAGGATAACTTTTTCAATATTTAACTCAAGATATCTCGCTATTTGTCAAAGGAAAAAGTGGTACTAGACTTTTTTGCTCTATTTAGTCTCAAGAATATATTGTTACAATAGCATTCTGATTTTTGTTAATTTGATGATTTTGAAATTTCCAAAAGTCGATAAGTTAACAAAAGTTAGGGCACTATTGTAACAATATATTCTTGAGACCAAATAGAATAAAAAAGTCTAGTACTATTTTTTCTTCCAACAAATAGTTAGCGAGATATCGTCAGTTAAATATTGAAAAAGTTACCAAATTTTTCTTAAATATCTCAAAAGATCTTAAAGATATTAAACAAAAATGTCTCAGATAAAAACTATTCAAATTAATTGGTAGAAAAAGATACTAAAAAAGTTACCAAGTTTTCCTTAAATATATTAAAATATTCAAAAAATATTAAGTAAATAGAAAAATGTTTCAGATAAAAATTATTCAAATTAATTGGTAGAAAAAGATAGTGTAATAAGAAAATGGAGCTTCCATTTAAGAAAAGTAATAATCAGTGAATATCTCGAGAATGACGTCATCTATAAACAAATTGATATTGTTTTATGTCCCATTTGAAACCGTACAATTTTTGTCGGAAACATTTTTCCGTATCTTCCATATTCCTCGAAATATTTGCCTGAGGAATTTAAAATGGGACACCCTGTATATACAGTGGCGTGCAAAACTTTTGAGCCGCACACAATATTATTATATATTCATTTCATAATTAGCGCTAAAAACTTTAGACATATATATAAACAAAATATATTTATTTGTCCTACAATTATATAAACTTTACAAACTCTTAATAATTCTAAATACTTTATTATTTTTACACAATGTCTTATTACAAACAGTGCAAAAGTATTGCGCCAAAAAGTTTTCTTATAAGAAAAATATATTATTGAAAAATAATAACAGAGAATGTTATCAACGTTTTCTTAGACTTAATACTTTGTTGCCATGCCTTTAGAAGCAGCACAACGGCGAGACATTGATGCTATTAAATTAGAAATACGATCTTGAGGTAAATTTTGCCATTGAGTAAATTTTGCAAATCTTGCTACAATTCAGCTTTATTGGAGTGTTTCTTATTTCATGTACGTAGTTTGAGTTCTTGCCACAAATGCTCAATAGGATTCAAGTCCGACGATTGCGAGGGCCAGTCAAGAACTCGCATTTTTTTTGCGATGAAAAATTCTTTTATCAATTTTGATGAATGTTTGGGATCGTTATCTTGTTGGAAAATCCAACCACGTGGCATATTTCGAGTTGCATATGGCAGCATATGCTGTGTCAATATATCTCGATACATTATAGCGTCCATAGTACCCGTGATCTCAACCAATGGACCATTCCATTATAAGAAAATGATCCCCAAACCATCACGTTACCTCCACCATGTTTTACGGTAGAAATTTGGTATCTTGAGTTATATCTTGTGCCTGTTGGACGTCGTATATACTTCCTATCGTCACTTCCGAATAACTGAAACTTTGACTTGTCAGAGAAAAGTACTTTTCGCCAATCAACTTCAGTCCAATGTTCAATTTCCTTGCAAAATCTAATCTAATTTCTTATTTTTTGCACTAATCAATGGTTTTTTTACACCAGCACATCCTAAAAGTCCTACTTCCTTTAGACGTCGAGATATTGTACTTCGACTAATATCAGCAAGATTTTCTTCTCATAGTTCTCGAGAAATATCCATGGCAGTTTTTCTAACATCCGCTATCGACTTTCTTTTAATCATTTTATCAACGTGCTTTGTAGTTTTGCGAGGTCTACCGTTTTGTGGTTTATCAGCTAAAGAGTTCGTCAACTTATATTTAGCAATAATCCTATTTACAATACTTTTATCAATTAATAAGCAATTAGCAATTTCGCGAGGAACCTTTCCTTGTTGAGAAAGATTAATCACGGCTTCGTGTAACTGAAGGCTTGTATGTTTCGGCATTGCGATAGACAATAGACTGAACCTTAGTTAAAGCAAATATTTACGAAGAAGTTTCATAATAAACGTAAACAAACCGGGCTAATAAAGTCATAACAAGAATACGGCTCAACACATTTGAACACTTTTGAACACATGTAAATATTATATGATTAAATAATTAGAAACTATGTAATTTCAAAATTTTGTAACTGTACTATTATTTGTAAGAATGTTATGTCAACTATTTTATATAATTAATTTTTAGAGGAAATCAATATATTATCATGTATCTTAAAAAGACACTATGGCTCGAAACTTTTGCACGCCACTGTACATATGTTGAATATATACATATGTATTCTGTGCTGAAAGTTTAAGTATTCAAATTTAAAAGTCAAAACAATAAGAATATTCGAAGCCGCGTTCTGGTACTTTCATCGTAGCGATGGCAACAACAAAGCAATTATATTTTTCGGGTGACATTAATTAAGCGTAATTGTCACTTTGCACATGGAATACGAAATGTATGCGAAACGAGCAACTGTGAATCGTGAAGGAAGTGTTCACAGCTTGATGGAGAGAAAGTAATGGAAATTGCGACGACTCGTTACTCCCCTTGATTAACGACGGCAGCAAAGAGTTATTTTTCAAGATGAGTAACGGTAACGGTACAAATGAGTTACATTTCTCCATGGGCAACGAGTTCTTCCTCTCAAAAGCGACTTCTTCACCCCAACAATTAATGCGATCAATTAGTATCGTCGACTCACGCGAACGCTTCGATCTGACGATCGACGGCTTCGCGTCACAGTGCGGACCTTTGCTCTTCTCGAGATATATGTCACCGTTATTTTATCATACTGAAAATTTTATGCGCGATACTCCACTTCTTACCCGCTGCAGATTCTGTTCGCTTTTTGCCCGCCAACCTGCTGCCAGATACTGTCAGCGGATTCTGTCGACAGAACATGAGTCTTGACTACTCACTTGAACGCCTTGGTGCGGCGCACGACCTCGTAGTACTTGGCCAGCTCCTGCAGCAACAGGCTGTAGTGGATCGTGCTGATGGCCAAGACGTTGTCGGCCAGACCCGACACGTGGAGCACCGCTCGTTCCTGCTGCTGTTGGCGCAGCAGCTCCTGCTTCTCCCGGTCGAGCATCTCATCATGCAGCCTGATGTACTTCTCTTTGATGCGTGTCAATCGGTCGGCCTGCGTTCGCTTTGCGCTCGAGGTAGGCGCGATCGGCTCGATTCCGGTCTCGTTATTCACGGACGAACGGACACACATGATGCTCCGCTGCCGACGTGTACCACGAATGTGCAGTTGCTCCTTGCCGCCTATCTTCTCGCTGATCTTCTCTCCGGCTCGCTTCGCTGCTGATCTACCGGAAGCCGGTGAACTATGCTTCTGAACGATTACTTCGGCCTCGAGTCGTTGCCGGCTGTCTACGGAGGCGTTGAGGGTCTTCTCGTCCGCGGTACCGAATCACCACTGGGTCACGACTTTTGCTCCTCTGCTCTTGGACTCGGATGGCAGCCGTCTGTAGCGCGTTTCCACACGCGCCTGAGGTCGCCCCTTATCAGAACACGCTCAGTACTCTTTTCGCTGTCGCTGATTCGTCTCGTATTGTCTTCCGCTCACGTTGACTCGCGAGGTGTTCGCTTGAGGACTGACGTGAGTTTGACGAACCGCTCACGAGCGATAACGCAATAACTGGCTGGCTGTCCTCGAGGGTGGTGGGACAATCTCGACCGATTGTCGCGTGGAAGGGAAGGAGCGTGTGGTGTGCGATATGTGTGTGTGTGTGTGTGGGTGTGCGAGTGGATGTGTGCGAGCGTGAAGGAAAGAAATTCTACACCCGCTTTTCCGCACGATTGTCGCCGTAGAATGCGCCGCGCCTCGACGCCGCTCTACTTTTATGTCCCTGTCCCTTGCCCCCTCTCGCACGATGCGGTCGCGACCGGTTGCTCGCTGTAGGTGGCGGATGTGCGAAAGGGTGAACAGGGTCTGTCTTCTCCGCGGGGGATGTGAAGACACCGCGCGGACGGTCCTGGGTCTTGGAGACTGGTTACTCCTCGGGTGACATCTCGCTTTCCCGAATCGAAAATTCTCCATACGGCGATAAATTCGGTTGCGAGAAGCGAGTGATCTTCCGCTTACGCGACTTGCGTCACTAAAAATTCTATGCATTGATGTTGCAAGTCTTTTTCGCTCCTTCCTCGGTTTTTCCGTGCATGTGGTCTCTATCTTCAGCGCTTGAACTATCAATAATAACCGTCTTGTAATTTCCTGCAAAAATTGAACGCTACAAATAATATAGGATACAAATAATATACTTTATATAGGAAAGGAAAAATAAACTGAATTTTTGTTTCAATTTAATTTTCTTGATCAAAGCATTAAACTCTTACTAGGACTTAAAAAATATTTTGAGTAAATTTGATGCTTACGATGAACGTATGACAGAGATTTGCAAATATATGAATTTACAAAATACTTTATAAATAAAAGTAATATTTATCGCAGTGTGTACACTCTGAGAAAAAATTGTATTAAAATTAAACAGATATTTGTTCGAATACGACTGTGAATACATTTATTTAAATTAAGTAGAGATATGCGAACTCTATTCGAATTCCAATCCGAATCCTTATGATTCGAATCCGAATAATTCGAACAGAGATCAAATATTATCAAATAGAATAGAGATCAAATATATTATCGTTTGCGTGCATCAGCTACAAAACGAGCCAACTGGGCCTGTATGTTTGAACCCTTAACTTGTAATTAACTTGACTTATAATTGATAACTTAATTATAAATTACCTTAAATATTTAAATATATATTTTACTTTAAGATGATATTATAATATCAATATTCTCTTTCATATTAAAATCTTCTATTATTATTTGCATGTTTAATAGTCATGTTAAATTTTTTAATGATTCGATTCGATTCGATTCGATATAAAAATTCTTGATTCTTGACATCTCTAAAATTAAGCAATTATTTTCTAAAATTCATGAAAAAAGTTTACATTCAGAGAGAGAGAGAACCTCTGTACTTCATTTTAGAAATTAATCGTTTAATTTGAATAAATGTATTCACAGTCGTACTCGAATATTCAAATATTTGTTTAATTTTAATACAATTTTTTCTCAGTGTATATTTTTCTGAGTATATGGAGAATAAATTTACGTAAAAAAAATATCCTTCTTTCTCTCTTTCTCTCTCCCTCTTTTTTCCTCCGTTACGTTATCCGATCGTTTATGAGCCGCGATAATATTTACGTTTCTACGAAATGAGGCTGCCGTGATTTACAACAGATCGCGATAGATATGTTACGAGGTTGCGAGGTTCGCTCGCTGTGCTACGATCGACCAACTACTCGCAATCTATTTCGCGTTACGTTACTCACAATTAGCGCATCTTGCGTCCTTGCGTTTTCATCGGGAACGAACGCGGCGATGCATCAGGACGTTGCGCCGGGTAACCTCGATATGTAACGCCCCGTTGCAGCCATTTGCTTTATGCGCCTTCGTCGCGATACTAATCGCGCAACGTGGCCCGATAAATCGTGAGCGCAATCGGCGAGGAAATGGCATCGCGTGAACAAACAAAAGCCGAAGATGTATTCTCTAAATTTCTTCAAGTAAAATATAACTCGGAAAGTAGATCGACGGACGAGTCGCTCGAATTCAAGTGATTCTTCTGCAGAATAGTAATGACGGATTTCGATTCGATTCTCAGAAAATCGATCTTGTCGAAAAGTCGATTTTTAAATCGATTCTCTTCCCTTCGATTTCTGTGTGCAAATCGATTCTTTCAGACATTCACTCCAGTTGAATTTTTCATTAAATAAAATAATATTGATGAAAAAATATATCAACGGATTAAAATTCTCTATTGAAAGGAATCAGTTTGTGAAAATTGAGTAGGAAAAGATCGACTTAGAAAATCGATTTTTGCGCGGAGAAGATCGATTTTCTGAAAATCGAATCGAGATTGACCGTCATTGCACGTAGAGTGAGTTTGTCATTTTGAATCGTTAATTATAACGTAATTGAAAAAAAAAATCAGTTCTCTAATCGATTGAAGCACCGATTCATACGAAAGAAGAATCCATTCCTAGTTTGAAATAAATTTAGACTTGGGACTTATGAAACGTTCATTTTTCATCATAACCTCAAATAAATTTTCATTTGATTCGAGTGAGGTTTCACACCAAGAAATTCGGAAAGTACTGCAAATTTCTTGAAAAGCGAAATTTCACTCGCAAAGTAGAATGACAGTCGAGTCTCTCTAATTTGAGTGATTCTTTATTCACGTAGAGTAGATTTCCCATCTTGAATTGTCTCTGTTTGGAATGAAATTTCATCTAAAGAAATTTAGAGCGTAGATGCGATTTCTTTCTCACGACTCAAGATTTTCCGTTCAAGAAATCGAAAGATTGCGATTGAAATTCCGAATAAACGTTTTATTAACAGCGTTTTCGGTGTCTTTTGTTTCACAGAGAATCGCCCTGTCGTCCGCCTGTGCTGTCGATTGTCTCACTTTGAATTGATTATCACATCATTATTATGTATGTGTGTGTGTGTGAGTGTGTGCGTGCGTGCGTGCGCGCGCGCGCGTGTGTGTGTGTGTGTGTGTGTGTGTGTGTGTGTGTAACAAGAATGGTGGATAAATCAATGTTTTATTTTCAGCAGTTGTTCGCACGTCTTATATATTGTGCAAATTTACATGCATGAAAAGTGCATGACGTCGGTCGCCATTACGTAAGAATTACGTGGAGTTGCGAGCGGCGCTAACGAGCGGCGTTCGCGCGAGAGAGACGGCCTCACGTGTGCGATGAAGATCACACGGATTCCCGCGCAATAATGTCCGTTCGCACGAAGTGCACGCTGACGGGTTATTGACATTGTCGCCGGACACATGAGAGCCGAGATGAAGCAGCTCGCATGTGTGACGTATCTATCGCCGATCGACTTCACGTCGAGCAACTGCTGAAAATAAAACGTTGACTAATCCACCATTCTTGTTATACACACTTGCGATAAATCAATTCAAAGTAAGACAATCAATCGTTTATCGGCTATTGCATCATTTTGTAGCGAGCGAGATAGAGCTCGCTTATTTACAGCGATCGTTCAACACACACACGTGCTCATTAGACGGGGGAAAAAGTGCCATCGTATCAGCAGGATCGAGAGATCGACAGAGATCTAATTCTATATAGGGTGAGGAAAAAAGATGGAAACCCTTAAAAATCTTGAAAGATATCAGTTTTACAGAAGAGTGTTTCAGACAAAAGTTATAAGGCTCAAAACGATGTATTTACTGATCTTATCAGTTTGACCTTGAGTGGCTTTGCCAAGGTCAGGTCAGGGTCAACTTATTTTTTTTTAACAGAAACCCCCATTTTTTATTATATCATCTTTTTCTACCAATTAATCTGAATAACTTCTGTCTGAAACATTTTTTTATTTACCTAATATGTTTTAAGATATTTAAGGAAAACCTGATGACTTTTTCAATACTTAACTTACGATATCTTGCTAACTATTTGTCAGAAGAAGAACTGGTACTAGACATTTTTACTCTATTTTTGGTCTCAAGAACATATTATTACAATAGTTCCCTAACTTTTGTTAACTTATTGACTTTTGGAAATTTCAAAATCACCAAATTAAAAAAAGTCAGGATGCTATTGTAACAATATATTCTTGAGACCAAGTAGAATAAAAAAGTCTAATAGCATTTTTCTTCCGACAAATAGTCGACAAGATATCGTAAGTTAAATATTAAAAAAGTTTCCGAATTTTCCTTAAATATTTCAAAAAAATATTAGGCAAATAAAGAAATGTTTCAGACAAAAGCTGTTCAAATTAATTGGTAGGAAAAGGTGATATAATAAAAAATGGAGGTTTCTGTTTAAAAAAAAAATGATTTGACCTTGACAACGCCACTCAAGGTCAAACTGATAAGTAAATACATCGTTTTGAGCCTTATAACTTTTGTCTAAATCACACTTCTCTGTAAAACTTGTATCTTTCGAGATTTTTAAAGGTTTCCATCTCTTTTCTCCTCACCCTGTATATAAAGTCGCAAGTATTCCTGACGAGCCTCAAATGACGACGACTATTAATACGGGCCCACTCGATTCTCTCGAGTTTCGAGAGTTGCCGAACGACTATAACTCGAAGCGAAAGGCGCGAGATCGAAGGCGCGGCTAAATTTAGACGAATGACGGAGATTCGCGCCGAATTCCTCGCAATCTGCGACGAACGAGAGCGCGGACGTTCGGGGCCGCTCTTACGCGTCTTCGGGGCAACAGCCGAAAGGGTCGATTCCGGCGATCCGGTCATGATGCGAGGAGGAGGAGGAGGAGGAGGAGGAGAAGATTGCTAAATTGCCGCTGCACTCCCGCGGAAGCGCGAATCCGACGTTAACGCGTAGGCGCGTTACGCAACGCGTACCGTGGCGTACGTGATCGGAGATGCGCCAGCTCGCCCTGCTGCAGCCTGCAGCAGGGGCAGATCAATGAAATTCGATGAACCCGGTCTGATCCCGAGTACTCTCGAGAATCGTTAGCGTCGCGCTGCGGGGGAAAGGGAGAAGCGGGAACGGCAGTCGGAAATGTTATTGAGTCACATGTCGCCGGCTCTCTAAAAGCATCAGAGCCGTCTCACGGCTCGTCGAAAGTCACCTTTCGACGGCAAATTGTCCTTATTGATCTTTCTCCAGAAAAGAAAAGAAGACTCAGGAGGCCAATGGACGTGATTGGTTGCAAGTGGGTCTTCGACCGGCAACGTTCCACATCTGCACGTTGGCGAATAAACTTCAATGATTTTTCGAACGAAGCGGCGATTCAACTAAGGATTCAATAAGACGACAATGAGAAGAACGATGGACGAGTACCGTGATTGCTGGACTGTAAGATTTTACGATTCTTGCTCGCAGGGATGAGAGAGAACGTCGTAAAGCTAGTCTCCTCTCAGTAACGACTTGGTAATGACGTTCCATTTTCTTCCGTTGCTAAAGCGGCAATCATAACGTGCTCGTAATTGCTCGTTTGAGTAACGACAACGAAGATAATCGTCTTCTCGTTACTTCCTCGGAAATTACTTCCTTCGATGTGCGATGAGCAACGGTAGCGAGTTACTTTGCGAGAGTAACTTTTCCAACTCTACTTACTTTTATCTTCGTTGCTGCCTCGAGAGTTGTTGTTCGTCGTTTATCATTTGTCCGGCATAGAAACGAGACATCAAGTAAGAAGCATACACAGGTCGATGATGTGTATCGAAGTATCAGCGAAACGGGGGGAAAACGCTGAAAGAGCGCGAGAGCTGCGATACTTTTTGTCAGTATGTCATGGAAAAACACAATATCGAGCATTTTATCGCGGGCTGATAACGCGAGCTGTTAACAAACAGCTCGTCTCAAACATCAAACATCAAACTCGGTCAACGACTGTCACTCGGCTAATTACCGGCTCTTCTTTGTTGATTAACGAGGCAAACAGGCACTGCTGGTAAGTCGCGGTAAGCTCTCGCGGAAGATGATTGCGCGAGGCGCGGCCGACGGAGATGCGTTTTGTGTAACGGTTTGTGCTCGCAGAACGAATCGCAGCCGCGATTAATGTGCACGCATACTTGTTATACGGTTGTTACTCGAGCATTGACACATAACACGCACACGTGACGATCTACGCACGCACACAGCATGGCGTAGCAGCCGCTATCGCACATCCACGCGTCTCTCACCGATCGAATAAAGCGCGAGCGGCTCGCCTTACACGGCAGCGGTTTCTCCGTGAGACAAAAGAAACCATGCTGAAGTATCGATTGCAGTGTGAAAAGTAAAATTTGCATGAAAAAATTGGGACATGCATGCGCGCACACACATACAGGGTGTATAAGAAGTACCGGGACGGTGAAATATCACAAAAACTAAGCATTTTAGTAAAAAAGGTTTTAAATAAAAATTGTAGGGTTTCGAATGATCTATTTACTAACATGAGTTTGACCTTGGGGTGGCGTCGCCAAGGTCAGGACGAAGTCACCTTGAATTTTTTAAACGGGACCCCCTATGTTTTATTGCATATTCTTGTAGCCCTTCTTCAGATCTTTTCAAAGCACTATCATTTTTTCCACTTTGAGTAAGCCGTTTCGAAGTTATCGAGCTTTTTATGATGAGATGTCCTGCCAATTAAGGCAAGATCAAAGCAGTATCCAGCCAGCCGAGGCAAGATCGTTACAAAAACGTTTGAGAATAATGTTAATCTCTAAAAGAAAAAATAGAGTCTAACGAATAAGCTAGAAAACAAAAAGATTTATCCAAACAGAAATTTGTATCAATTAGATAACAAAATCGATAATTCAATGAAAGAAAGAAAAATCAGTAAGAAAAATCATTTATCTTTTCCGTATGAAACAACGCGTATGTACAAATACGTAATGTGTTCTATTTTAAGTTAAATTCATTGCAATTAATTTGAAACGATTCGAAGGTGAATTTTAGTGCTGTTATAAATTTAGTACATTAGTATTACTTTTTTAATATTACATGTGTCTGAAATGCAAGTCACGAAATTGCTCCAGCCGCTGACTGGACATCTTATAAAAAGACTCGATAACTTCGAAATGGCTTGCTCAAAATGGAAAACATTATAGTGCTTTGAAAAGTCTGTGAAAAATTGTCTGAAAAAGGGCTACAAGAATATGCAATAAAAAATAGGGAATCACATTTAAAAAATTCAAGGTGACCTTGTCCTGACTTTGGCGACGCCACCCAAGATCAAACTCATAATATTAGTAAATAGATCATTTGAAGCCCTACAATTTTTCTTTAAAACATTTTTTTCTAAAATGCTTAGTTTTTGTGATATTTCACCGTCCCGGTACTTTTTATACACGCTGTATATTTATTTTGTTGCGCCAAGAAATCATTCAGACAACGCAAATTCTTGAAAGATATTTTGAATACATCTGAAAGAAAAAATAATCTAAAAAAGAGGACTTTTTGTTGAATGTCCTTAAGATGTTTGCGCTATCTAGCCGATTCCGCTGCAAGCTGAGATCCGTATTCGATTTCGACGCTTCAGATGTTGGGATATTTTGGAAAATCCGAATTATATCCGATATATTTTCGTATCATCGCACGTACGTCGAATTTCACGAGGAATGACTTCTTGGGGCGATTTGCCGAAATCCTGTCTTTATCCAAATAACTTGATGACGGGCATTAGACTCTTCGAATATTTGTGCGAATCGACTGTCGCTGCGCCGAGAATGAATATCGGGAGACCGCATTTACATGATCGCTGAACGGTAACAATGATGATGTGTAATTCACGTTGTCGTCGTTGATCGTGACAAATGACGGCGATTCCTCGGCGATGACGCGCGTCAATCGCACGAAGGAGCTCGTCGTCAGTCACGTCGATGTTCACCGACTTGATCGCGCTACAACGACCGAGAGAATTTTACCCGGACAGCGTCGAAGTCAACGCGCTGCCCTGTCTCGCACATAACGTATCGCAAATTAATTGCAATGAATTTAACTTAAAATAGAACACATTACGTATTTGTACATACGCGTTGTTTCATACGGAAAAGATAAATGATTTTTCTTACTGATTTTTCTTTCTTTCATTGAATTATCGATTTTGTTATCTAATTGATACAAATTTCTGTTTATTGGATAAATCTTTTTGTTTTCTAGCTTATTCGTTAGACTCTATTTTTTCTTTTAGAGCTGTCGACCGCAAATGCGTTTCGGTAAGGTGCAAAGGCTGCTGCCGAGGCGAGTTGTCCTCGCAATTACGACTCCCTATTTATACACCGGCGTTATATACCGAGGTGTCAATTAACTAGGCAGAAATTAAATATGGCTTTCTCTCTCTCTCTATGTGCCGATAATAATAGCCGATAATAGCGAGATCTGTATCTTTCACTGTCATTCGAAATTTTCAGATAATTCGACATGTGTCTAGACGGTGTCACAATTATATAACAACTTGGATCGCGATAAATTGCGATTTATTATTGCGACAAATATACGTAGACAATATATATATACATATATCAGGGTTGGGAAAGTTACTTTTTAAAAGTAACTCGTTACCGTTACCATTACTTTCGGTAAAAAGTAACTCGTTACCGTTACTCGTTACTGATCTTAAAAAATAACGCGTTACCGTTACTTGAAAGAAACGGTATTTTATTTCGTTACTTTTTTTTGTTGTAAATCCAGGATTATAAGAAAGGTGCTAAGACAAGATATAAATCGGACATAAGACGATTAGAAATATATATATATATATTTAAATATTTTTATTATTTTATGTTATTAAGTATTGTATTTAATGAAAAGTTTCTTAATTAGTGGATATAAATTTAATATTTGGACATTAGTGCCTGTTGACTTTAAAAATCTTTGCCATTCATCATAGGCAGATTTCTCATTTGATGTTTGCTATTTAAAATTTAAAAAGTCATCGTTATTATTGTGCTTATCAGACATCAAAAAATTTTTAATTGAAGGAATTCCTTATAAATCTTCTAAATACGTTTGCGCAAGTTTTCACTTATCTTCAGCTAACTCAATTTGGGATGCAAACAGCTGGCAATTATCAATTCTTCTTTTTCGAATGTAGTACAAAACCTAAAGTTGAATCAATAAAATTAAATATGAACATATTGATTTTTCTTTTTGATCAGATGAATGTTGTTTGATGAACATATGTATTAACCAAATTACACCAACTTACCTTTCTTTTAAACCTTTCTGTATAGCTAAGGCCAATGGATGACAATATGTGAGTCCATCTTTATTGGTTCTCATTAAATTCAGCATAAAACAAAAAATGCATAGAAATTAAATACAATTAAGTTTAATTTTATAAAAATTAAAAAGTAACAATTAAAGTAACGGACGTTTTGTTACTCATTACAAAAAAAATGTATCGCCGTTACTTTTTCGTTACTGACACCAAAAAGTAACGGCGTTACCTAATTGTTACTCAAAAAAGTAACGATACCAGTAATGGCGTTACAAGTAACGCGTTACTTCCCAACCCTGGCATATATTAATATCATTGACTTACTGGTACGCTAATATCGCACGATACGCTCGGCGCTCGTCGTCGTACCGCAAAACGGGGTACTCGCATGATGGTAAAGAAAACAATTACTGCCGGCAAATTTATTTTAAAATTTATACATGCTACATTAACTCACACTTACTCTTTTCCTTTTAAACTACTGCTCGACAATCGAGGATACATTAATGAAAAAATAATGTATATAGAAATAAACTATATGAGTAGTAATGATCACGAATGCGTTTAGTTAACGGCGATCTATGTGAGAGAGATACAAAAAAGAGGATTGAACAGTTACTTTTAGCTCTGATCCATCGCATTCGTTTCGTTCACGTTACTACCGCTACAGTCCTTCTGTATTATCTCGAAGAGTGGCTGCAAGTCTGGCGTTCCCTTGATCTGTCCCACGAACTCGCTTAACGATGGATTTTTATCTGCGAACACAATTTGATGCCGTCACGTTGCGTTGCGCGACTTGAAGCTCTCAAACGAGGTAATACTCACCCGCATCGGGAATTGTCAACAGTGCTGCTACGGCTCTCAGCGCAGAACGTTTCAACTCGTCCTGCTTCTCGTACTCCTGCTTCACCGAGTTCGCCTTTACCTTCATCGTGCATGTGCTCTTCAATGGCTCAACTAATCGCTCCAACCCTGTGTAACGATATAACGGTAAGTTACAAGTCTCGCTATAATTTTTAACTTTTCATTTCTAATTATCTTAACCCCCCTTCGCATTATCCCGAGTATACTCGTCCAAATGGAGTTGTTCCCGTGTGCGCGATGACGATGAGTATACTCGTCAAACATTTTCTTTTGAAACTCCTGAACGAAATCATTTAGAGAGGTCTGTGACCTCGCAAATTAAAGTTTGAGACTAGCATTTTAAAATAGATCTTTTAAGATAGATCGAGTTGCGGTATTGAATTTTGCACATATTAATTTAAAAAATTTGATTGAAAATTGAAAAAAAAAGAGAAAATTCATGTAATAATTTTCCAATTTTTTGTCTTTACGAAAGTGTCCTAAAAGTACTCAAATCAGTCTGGAAACTCTTACTTGGGGGAATTTTTAGGGTCGTTGATTACAAATCTGAAGTCAGAATCTCAAAATTCAAAATGGTGAATCCAATATGGCGGTCAAGTACACGATTTCCCAGTCCGATTTCGATTATTTCATTCTGATTTGCCTGGAAACTTTTACGGGGGGTTCCAGAGGTTGCTGATTACAAATCTGAGAGATCAGTATTTCAAAATTCACAATGGCGGATTCAATTGCGTTAAATTCTCATACTAGGACTAGGATTTGCTATACTTTCCGTTTGATAAAGTATACCCAGGATGCACTAAGTGGAGGTTCTAAATCCGATTGTTTTCCACATCCCTTTTGTTTTTTTTTATTTTTTTTTATTTTCAATTGCTGAGTTCAATTGCAAATTTGTAATCAAATTCATAGTAATTTCTCAAACTCTCGAGTAATAGTGTTCAAGTTTATCAGACGAGAATCTTCTAATTTTCACGGGAAAACATATATATCGCCGTCATATTGGATCTGTCATTTCAAAATCTGACTTTAGATCTGTCTTCAGTGATCTGAAAAACCCCCGAGTAATAGTTTTAGTGGTAGTAGTTTCCAGGCCAATCGTAACAAGAAAATTCAAAATTTATTGAATTTTGAAATTCTGGCTTCAGATTCGTAAACTACAACCCTAAAAACCTTAGAAATGACTGCGTTTACTTTGCAACCCTTTCTAAAAAAAACTCGTGCATTTTCCTAACGTTCAGGGAAAACTCTTGCGCAGGGGGGTTAAAGGTGGTGCTAATTAATATCTCGACAATTAAGAAGTGACATCTCGTATGTGCGAAATCGGAATTTTCCAGAAAAAATGAAATTGGGAAACATCCATTTCCAGTCTCTCCCTTTAGCGCTAGCGTTATTTATTTACGTACTTATATCATTCTAAAGATTAAAAGTGTAATCTAGTTTACCTGATAAGAACAGATCTTAAATTTACAAGATAATGGGACACGATCAGCAATCGTATGTATGAAACTCACTTTGCAATACTGCGGTCGGACACAGTTGAGCGAGTCGTGCGGTCATGAGATAAGTCAACATCTTGATGTCGTAATGATCTCGAAGACCGTTCTCCACATGATTCAAGAACTCGAAGACATCCAGTCTGTCGAGACACGAGTCTAGCAAAGTATACATGCATTCGAACGCCGCTTTTCGAAGATCCAGTCCGTCGTCCACTGTATGTTTGAATGGACCCATCTCGACTTCTCTTATCAGTTCTTTCTGTACATTGAAAGATTCATTATGTCGCACACTCAAGTTTCAAAGTCTATCAACCATAGACAGCTAAACGTTAATCTCCTCCAAGATTAACGTTTTAATATACGTGTGTACGTCCAAATGTGTGTTCAATTCTTCTCTTTTAATTCAATGTCCACAAAATTATAACAAATAATATTATGAATAAATATCCAGTACAAGAAAAATGCCTATCACATGATTGACAGATGCGATATACAGAGTGTATAAAAAGTACCGGAACGGTGAAATATCACAAAAACTAAGTATTTAAAAAAAAATGTTTCAAATAAAAATTGTAGGGTTTCAAAAGATCTATTTATTGATATTATTATATTATGGCCGGTATTCATAGTCAGGTCTTATATTTAAGACCATCTTAAGTTCACCTTCAGATATGCCGTAGCCAATGAAATAATGTGTACATCTGAAGATGAACTTAAGACGGTCTTAAATATAAGATCCGACTATGGGTACCGGCCTATGAGTTTGACCTTGAGTGGCGTCGCCAAAGGACAAGGTCACCTTGAATTTTTTAAATGTGATTCCCTATTTTTTATTGCATATTCTTGTAGCCCTTTTTCAGACAATTTTTCACAGACTTTTCAAAGCACTATAATGTTTTCCATTTTGAGCAAGCCATTTCGAAGTTATCGAGTCTTTTTATAAGATGTCCAGTCAGCGGCTGGAGCAATTTCGTGACTTGCATTTCAGACACATGTAATATTAAAAAAGTAATACTAATGTACTAAATTTATAACAGCACTAAAATTCACCTTCGAATCGTTTCAAATTAATTGCAATGAATTTAACTTAAAATAGAACACATTACGTATTTGTACATACGCGTTGTTTCATACGGAAAAGATAAATGATTTTTCTTACTGATTTTTCTTTCTTTCATTGAATTATCGATTTTGTTATCTAATTGATACAAATTTCTGTTTATTGGATAAATCTTTTTGTTTTCTAGCTTATTCGTTAGACTCTATTTTTTCTTTTAGAGATTAACATTATTCTCAAACGTTTTTGTAACGATCTTGCCTCGGCTGGCTGGATACTGCTTTGATCTTGCCTTAATTGGCAGGACATCTCATCATAAAAAGCTCGATAACTTCGAAACGGCTTACTCAAAGTGGAAAAAATGATAGTGCTTTGAAAAGATCTGAAGAAGGGCTACAAGAATATGCAATAAAACATAGGGGGTCCCGTTTAAAAAATTCAAGGTGACTTCGTCCTGACCTTGGCGACGCCACCCCAAGGTCAAACTCATGTTAGTAAATAGATCATTTGAAACCCTACAATTTTTATTTAAAACCTTTTTTACTAAAATGCTTAGTTTTTGTGATATTTCTCTGTCCCGGTACTTTTTATACACCCTGTATATTTGTCATTCTCAAATTAAATCATATTTAATGATTTGAAATTAAATCACACATTTTCGAATTTTAATAGACTCGTCTTTGAGGAGATTAATTAAATACTATTATCTTTGGAATACCTTTATCTTAGTTTCCGTATAAAGATGCGGCAGCACTGCGTCCAAGAGATCTCTTATCAGCATCGGCTTATTATGTGCTGCGGAATTAAATGCAACTAACGCTACCCTTCGCACGTTCAAGTCAGGATCTTCCAGGGCGATCAAGAAATTACCCATGCATTGTTTCAACATGATATCAATCTGTTGTGGCTACAACGAAAACGAACAAATGTATTAACGTACATTAAAGTTTTTGGACATTTATTATTATATAGAAATAATCGCATGATAGACGATAGTTAATATCGCAACCGATCAGGTACCTGATCAGAAATGGTGAATTTCACCGCAGTGACTGTCGTTGTTCTCATAAGCGCCGACGGTGACTTGAGCGATTCTTGTAATCTCGGCAACAGAGTGGCGGGATCAATGAGCGTCAACTTGCCGAGACATTCGGCTACGACATTGCGAGTACCTTCCTCCGTGCATTCGCAATGCCTATACAGAAGCATCCAAATCGAAGGCACGAAATTCTGCAGGTGCGACACGCCAGACGGACTGGCCGACTGACACGTGATAATCTGCGGACGTAGAAGAAGAATACCTTAGGAATGTCCTTACGTCTGCTTTGCATAGATGCAACATATGAACACGGATAAACTCACCTCCTTCAACGAATGCAGAAGCAGATATTGGCGTTTCGGCTGAGCCTCGATCTCTTGAAGTATAAAAGGCAAGTATTCAGGAAGATTTCCAACTGCGATGTTGCCCAACGTGTAGCTGGCCGCGGATTTCACCTCTTCCGAGTGCGACGAGAACGAATTTAGAATCGTATGTTTTAGCGAATTAATTCCACTCAAATCCCTGAGAGAGAGAGAGAAAGAGAAAGAGAGAGAGAGAGAGAGAGAGAGAGAAAGAGAGAAATAATTATTTTGAAGATAAATATATCTTTAATTTCTTTCGCGTTGGCTTTTAATTGGCAGATTCTATTTCAGTCTCTATGCCTCTGATATTTATTAAGTTGAAATAGAAAGTCCTCATTGTTGAATATTGAAGTTGATAAGTCTGTTACAAGAAGAGGACAAATAATATGCAATTGTCTTACACATGTCTTCCTATCTCTCCGATGACCAAGAGAGCGAATATGTGTTGGGCATCGTTCTGCGGATTTTGCACGTCTTTCAACAACTGCTCCACGATGCCCTGCGCTTCTTGATGCCACGTGATTGTCAGTGCGGCCGCACACTTGGCAAGGGAGTGATAAGCCTGTTTGTGAAGTACTGATTGAGTAACTGGCACCACCAGCATCGCAAGGAGTTCTCGGTATCCGAGACCTGGTATTTCTGCTTGAACTAGAGCTTGGAAAAACTCTAACATCGAATTTAATGCGACACCTATACAACAGAAGGACGTACTACATAAGTACTATAGTAAAATATATTAGAATATATAACGAATAGTAATGGATATAATAATGTAAACTGTGTACGTATGTGTATTAAATTTTCTAATCAGCACGACATTCAAAGCGACATGATCACATACCTTGAAGAAGCGGCGATTTGACCAGGACGAGTATCTCCGGTAGGATATGGTCGGAAACCCTGGTCAGAGCGATCGGGTGTAATCTTGCAATGGTAGTGAGAAGATTCAGCGTTAATTGTGCGATATGTAGATCTGTTTCGCTTAATAACGCTGGTAACTCTGTGGTAACCTGCGGAAATGAGATCAGAGATCGTCAAATCATTTGTTAATTATCATTTAACGTATCGAATGATATATAGGGTGTCCTATTTTAAATCCCCCAGATAAATATCTCGAAAAATATCGGAAGATACGGAAAAATGTTTCAGACAAAAGTTGTATGGTTTCAAGAGGGACATAAAATAACTATCAATTTGTTTACAGATGGCGCCATTTTCGAGATATTCACTGATCATTACTTTTCTGAAATGGAAACTCCAATTTCTTACTACACCATCTTTATCTACCAATTAATTTGAATAATTTTTGTCTGAAACATTTTTTTATTTACTTAATATCTTTTTCAATATTTAAGGAAAACTTGGTAACTTTTTCAATATTTAACTTACGATATCTCGCTAACTATTCGTCGGAAGAAAAAAATAGTACTAGATTTTCTTATTCTATTTGATCTCAAGAATATATTGTTACAATAGTGCCTTAACTTTTGTTAACTTACCGACTTTTGGAAATTTCCAAATCATCAAATTAACAAAAATCAGGATGCTATTGCAACAATATATTCTTGAGACTAAATAGACTAAAAGGAGTAAAAAAAGTCTAGTACCATTTTTTCTTCCGACAAATAATTAGCGAGATATCGTAAGTTAAATATTGAAAAAGTTACCAAGTTTTCTTTAAATGTTTCAAAAAATATTAGACAAATAAAAAAATGTTTCAGACAAAAGTTGTTCAAATTAATTGATAGAAAAAGATAATGGAATAAAAAATTTGGGATTTTTATTTAAGAAAAGTAACGATCAGTGAATATCTCGAAAGTGGCGTTATCTGTAAACAAACCGATAAGTTGTTTTATGTCCCCCTTAAAACCATGCAACTTTTGTCTGTAATATTTTTCCATATCTTCCATATTTTTGGAGATATTTGCCTGAGGGACTTGAAATGGGACACCCTGTATATAATTACCTTGTCAAGTAGATCCGCATGTAAAGCTGAACTGTAATTGCGCACCAACGTATCCAAAAGGGGAAGAGAGGAGAGCTTTAGAGCTCGTTGATTTTTCCTCAAGAAAGATCCCAGAATGGGTATTGCGTCCTCCTGCAAACAGCGATATCTCAGTGTGTGAACAGAAAAAATTTCGTAAAATTTTTTCCTACACACAAATTGCAAACTGCAATTATTTTAACACTGAATTATCTTGGCTTACCAAAAAAAAGAAAAAAAATTACTGAATTAAAGTTAATGCATTTTGAAGTAACTGGTTTAAATTACAAGTAAATTCATTTAAAACCAAGTTATTAACATTTTAACTTACTTTTCAACCAATTAACTTAGTTATTAATCAAAAAATCTAACAAATTACAATCTTAAAGTACCATGATCGGCTGCAAATCTACTCTCAGAGGAGACGCAGCTATACACGTTAGAGCCTTAACAGTCGTGAGCCTAGTTATCTCGTTGCGCAGTCTGTCTAGAAAGATAGGCAGGCAGATGTGCAACTCGTTCGACAAAGTATCGCCGAAATGTGCGAGTATCTGACCCATGCAGGCGATGGCTCTCTCTTTCACTTCCTGATCGATATCTGCCGTTCTCAGCCTCTTCAATGTGCAATGATATATCTCTCCGGACAATGAAGTGAAGTCAAAATAACATGATTTATCTGTAAGTATTCAGATCGAAATCGCCTAATATGAGCTTGCGAACAATTTCGCTTCAGGTTTCTCTTCTTCTTACAGTGAAAAGAAGAGAAGTGTGTAGCACAAGTTGTCATATTATCTCGCGGGATATTCGCAAAACGTTGGAAATCCACAAAGGGCAAATCAGTATCAAAAACTCATTGGTCTTTATGGCTACGAGAAAGGCAAACTAGAGATACTGACTTACCGTGAGGTCTGATGACCTGTACAAGTTGCTGCAGTACGAGTAACGCTTCGGCGGTGATCTTGTAGAAAGGATCGCCTACAGCCGCTATGATCGGTGGCGCCAAAACGGACATATGAGCGTGGAACGCCTCGGGTTCGTGCGTTATCAGTAGCGTATGCACGAAAGCCAACGTGTCGATCTTCATGTTCGAAGACGAATTCTTGTCTCCCAGCGAATATTGTATGCCGGGTATCAGCGCTGGGATATGATTGGTTAGAGCGCCGGGTAAGACAAGCACCAGTTCCTTCAGTAAGGAGAAGCAGTCCTGCCGAGTCTTGATGCTCTTCTCCTTCATTTGCCGATGAACTGCCTTCACTATCAATGGCACTTGCTGTTGCAACAGCGAGATCGGTCCGTCGTCGTCCTCCATTGCGTCAGGATCGAGTGGCACACCGGTAGCTGGCCTGGTCTGTCTCAATAAAGCGATGTACGCGTGGAAGATGTCGGACTTGACGTTCTCTTCTCTTTCTGCAATAATATTGAATAACGTTGTTAACATAAAATTATTAACATGATGAATAAAATATTCAATCTTTTGCGTTAGCGCTCGCGTGGAACATAAGCTTCTATCAAAGTTGAAGCTCAAGCAGAACGAAACTGACACCAACACACGATACTTGCCTTTAAACCTACATATCAGCGCAGGTGAGACCAGTTTGTAAAGATCCGGCAGCAATTCTCTTCTACTAGATACAACGGCCTCCAAACACTTCGCCGCTGCTCTACGAACTTTCCAACTCATATCGTCATCATCAGAATATTCGTCCTCGGCATCCTCCTCGCCATCCTCTTCCACTTCCATTACAACTCCTTCTCCGTCGGAGAAATCGTTCATATCGTCGTCATAATTATAGTTTGGATCGTACGTGATATATATTAAACAAATCTCTATGATCTAAAATTGAAGATTCTGACATTTTAGCAGTTCTGGTGTAACACACACAATCATCAAAAATATCAGTGTAAATCACACAATCATCAAAAGTATCGATATAAGTAAGTATACCTTATTTATGTGCGGTGTGATCTCTTTCGGACACCTATAGACAAAGGATTCAAATGCTTGCAAACAATACTCCCTTAATTCATCATCATCTTCGTTACTATATTGGACAATTAATGGCATAACACGTTCTATTTGTTCGCCAAATCTGTGACCCGCTTGTCGGCTGTGAGACAAATATCAAGAAATCAAATTTCAATAAATCGTTAATAACCTATTCGATTGTCTAAATGTGATGTAATATGATTAACATAAAATTACTAATGTATATCACCGGATAGAATTACTAACCAGATAGAAGCGATACATTGGATATAGGTACGTATAACATTCTTTATCGTTTGGGTCGAGAGACCCTGAAGAAGCTGATCCAGCAGTTTATTGTATAAATAATTGTTGCTGGATGTCAGCAGGTGACTGAGTGCTACTATAGTGCGTTTGCGAACTGCTTGACGTGGTGACGAAAGTTGTGGTGATAGCGCATTCAGAATAGTAGAATGGAAAGAGACTAAGAGCGCGCCGAAACGAGACAGTAAGTCGGCGACGATGTCGAGGGCTTCAAGCTGTACGGATACATCTTCTTGCTGAAAACGAATTATATGCACATACATTAGGCTGCATCAGTTGTCATTGAAACCTCAAGAATATGTTATTTCTATTGTTATGAAATATAATTAAAAATATCAAAGATGAATTAAGATTAAATATAAGATCAAAGATCAAGAATCAAGATATCAAGTTATATCGAAAGGCACAAGAGATGTAGATAGTTTACCTTTTCAATAGCGCTGCTTAATTTTCCTGTAATACGTCTACAAATATTTGCAACTAATGCACTAGAACCCAAAGGAAGCTCAGAAATAACAGTCTTCAAGCCAATGCTGGAGATATCACGTAGTTGCTCTTTATCGGATACCATGTTGCTACATAGGGCATCCACAATGGTTTCCACTTGATATTCTTTCACTTTGTTGACTAATGGACCCAAGCTAAAATTGCAAATCAATCTTGCAATTATAGAGATCATAGAGTTATTGAATAAAGAATTTTAGAACATATCAAATTGAGACAAGTTTACATTGATAATTTACAGTTTTATGATATTATGAGAGTATAGTGCACAAAAGGATTAGTATTATACAAGAGAGATATGCAGAGTTAACACAATTATAAAATACAGAAACAATATGTATAAAAAATACTATAAACATTGTTTCTTCCGGTGTAATGTCTAGATGTCTAGAACTATACCATTTGACAGCAAGATTTTGCACTTCTCCATTCTTGTCCTCTAATAACTTAAGTAGCATTTTTACAACTTTGCGTTCAGAATCATCGTCCAACTTGATGCTGTCTTTCTGTAGTTCACTCATCAAATCGTTAGTTGCCATAAATCTGAAGTCTTTGTCACTGGACGTCATCTACAAAAGATTACATTTGTTCAGACACTACTACGTGCATATGAATGATGGAAAAAATGTAGATATGTGCGTGGCAGATACACGCGAACATGAATTAACCATCACTACTTTATAATCACAATAAATTAGATATCGATTGCTCCCTATTGCGGTAGCACATAATTGCAACCTTCGTGCAATTACATGCATTAATTCTCGGGATATGTCGGAATTATTACGACAAAATGATTATAATTGCAACGCAATTTTTAGGAGCAGCGCTTCGTTTTGCAGCGTGTTCGCGAAAGAATGCAATATCGAGTGATCAATCGGATCTCGAAGAAGGTTATGTCACGATAAGGTGTAACGAAGAGCGAAGTGACGAATATTCAAACGGTCAAACGATAAGTAATATTCCGGCGATTGCTCTTATTATGCGCGAATGTGCATCATATTCTACCTTCTCCAGCAGGTTCGCTATTTGATAGGAGACACTAGCCATGGTTGTCGCTTTTTCACAGCCGGTTCGACGATGATTAGCGATATGCGCTTAGCGCGCTTCGAGCTTCGATTACGTTCGGCGTGTTGTAACGCAACGAAAAGAAAGGAAAAACAACGGTAGTTCCCGACGGTGCAACGCCGACGACACGAGGACGCAGCAACAAGCAGCCGATTCTCTTGGAGGACAATCGCACGCGAGTCGAATTTGTCGCACCGCTTCTTTTCACTGCCACTCCGCCGCTGTCGGCAGCATCTCAATCGCCGCTAGCTAGCTACCGATGCAATATCGAAATTTTGACGGTAACCGGACCGTGCGCGTTCCTAAAGTCGCCATGAGGAGGCCTGCCTCGCACTGTATATGTGAAAATTAATATATGTACCTAATGATTGCAATTAAAACAAAAAATGATTGTAATAATGTTATTTTCTCAGGATCATTACTCTCGGTGATTTATCAGAACACCGATAATAATTCGATATGTTAAATTCGCTATGCTACGTTATTATAGGCTGTTTCTCGATTTAATATGTTTCTCTCTTTAAAAAGTTTATCTTTTATAGATTTGTACGATACTCTCGACGCAACTGATGAAGTTTTGAATCGATAGAACGCCGAATCTTTAATTATTTCATGATAAATATAATTATTAGCATAATATACATGGTGGGACAACATATTATTCATATATGACTTAATTATATATAAAAATTTAATTTATTACATTTCTTTCTCTCTTAATCTTCACACATTTAATTGTCAACTAAATAATATTGATTTATCTTAGATTTTTATCATTATTTTATACCAAATAAATTATAATTGAACATGTACAGTAATCTTACTCTAGATATCTCTTTTACTTTTATAACACTAAATTTCTATTTTATTTCTACTTTAGCAATTTATATGCAATTTTCTATATTTATTTAAAATTGCATTAAATTAAACAAATTAATATATTAGTCTGATAATTTGTCCTGCATCATCATATTAAGATGTATATCAATTTTTCTCTAAAACGATAAATATTCATATGAAATTGTAATGAAACAAATATATGATAAAAATAACAATGCTATAGTTCAAATAAATAAAAGTTGCAAATAATTAATGATCTAACTATATCATGATATAAAACTGAATGACGAGACTATTTTAGTCAGTTTCATCATCTTCATCTTCATCTTCTATATCTTCTTTAATATCAGGATTATTATCCTCCTGAAATAAGTATTTCACATATAAATTAATTTGAAAAATAAAAGACTGATATAAACATATATTTACATCACTCATTTGTAATATTTACTTTTGATGAGGCCTCGTCTGCAGTTGCCTCTGCAGTTGTCCCAGGCGAATTCATAAAGCAAGTAATAGATTTCTGCCACTGTGGTGTTTCTCGTGGATGGTAGGGATTCCCACTAGTGTATTTTTTTCCTAAAAAAATATGAAATTTTGTTATGAATAATATCTTCATGCATCATTACACTTGGTTTCTTTATTATAGAATTTGGAGAATTTATGAAAAATATTACTTCCTCTGCCATTCTTCTTAGGAGTATTAATTTTTACAGCTACATTCTTTTTCGCACTTGATTTCTCGCCAACAGCTGAAAATATATAAGTAACATACATACAATGTTGTTATTTTCAATGGAACAAATATAGAAACATTCAATCGCTTTTGTGTTGTAAAATTTACCTCTTCTAGGAACCCTGTCCGCTCTTGTCCTCACCATATTTTCACGTTTATACAAAAATCTGTTTATACAAAAAAGAGATTTTTGCAAAGGAATACAGGAACCGAAAATAAGAAAATTCCAAGCACCACTTCTCAAAGTATCGTTACGAAATTTGAAAGACAAAAGCCAGTGTGGCCAAATCAGAACCACATCTACCAAGTTGACCAATATCTAATTATGTCACTAGCTATATTTGTTCAAAGAGAAGACTGAAAGCAGCCGCATGTCAATATTTTATTTGATACCGATTTTAAGAATTTCAAGAACAATTGAAGGTCTATTCGTTCCCGAATAACTTCTGAACTAATGCACACTAGTACAATATTATACAATTAGTACGTACAATTAGAACGAAAGAAATATATTTCATGAGTGCGTTCCGTTTCACGTATCCATATTCTAACTTAGGCCCAGTTCCACAACTTGCTTTAAACTCCGTTTAAAGCAAGTTGTGGAACTGGGCCCTAATGCACTAAAGCACTGCATTCTGCATTCTGATTGGTACATTTCCGAAGATGAATGGAAATGCACCAATCAGAACGCAATATTTTCATCCAGCAAGCAATCCAGCACAAAAACAAGCATCGTGTGCCGCTGGCTTAATTCAGAAATTCTTTGAAACACGAACAGACCTCTGCGGCGCGATTCTTTAGCTCGTTATTGGAGTTAACGAAACTGTCGTTAATTCCAATAACGAGTTAAAGAATCGTACCACAGTACCGCGATTCTGTAACTCGTTATTGGAGTTAACGACAGTTTCGTTATTGTTGCGCAGCTTTTCTACGGTATACAAAAGTTGCGCAACGATAACGAAAGTGTCGTTAACTCCAATAACGAGTTACAGAATCGCGGTACTGTACCGGATTCTGTAACTCGTTATTGGAGTTAACGACAGTTTCGTTATTGTTGCGAAGCTTTTCTACGGTACACAAAAGCTGCGCAACGATAACGAAAGTGTCGTTAACTCCAATAACGAGTTACAGAATCGCGGCACTGGGGCTGTATTCTGTACTCGCGTACTGATAGTTGTCGGTGTCGTTAGCAGTATTGCGCAGCTTTTGTTATATGAAAAACCTGCACAATGCCGCTAACGACACCGACAACTGTCGATATGCAGGTACGGAATACAGCCCCTGTTCATACCTAGTAACAAAAAGAACCGCGATTTCCTTTCCATGGCGCGAAATATTTTAAAAGTAGTCTAGAGTATAAAATTAGAACACAAAATATTCGAAATATATAAATCCTCGTATACGTACAAAAAAAATCAAATTGCAGGTACGGAATTTCTGAATTATATAGTGATACTAATTCTATAATTTTATTATTTTTCTACAAGAGATATATACGAGAGGATTTCGAAATTTTTTATTCTATTGCTCCATGTATATATATATATATATATATATGTACATACATATATATATATACACACAAAATTTCGAGAACTTTGCGTGCCATAAAATAATTTTCCCCCATCTTTCTTCATTATGATTATAGTGCCCTACACATATAGAGAATTAAAAACGCTCGCGATATTCTTATACCAACAATGGATAATGGCTCTTTGTTTGATAGAATTTGAGCAATAATATAGATATGCGGAAAAATACATGTTTACGATAACCGATTTTGGGCAATCTCCAATCAAATTTTCTCCGGCTGAATAGTATTACTCGGATGCAACAACCCTGACGACGATCTGATCGTTCTCTGAGGATACGAAAACAAATAAAAATTATGTAAAATAATTTATGTACGTTTACACATTGCTACAAGTATATGTTACACATTGAACAGGCCTTTTCAGATTCATACATACTTTCGACGTTTGACAACTTTCAGCTGACGCGAAAGGTTTCGTCGACAAAGAACAGGCATGTACTTTCTTATTCATGTGTTTTCTGTTGGCACACGTCACAAATACGTACTTGTCCTCAGTGACTCTCGCTTTTTTTCTCTCTCTTTCTCTTTCTGTATGTGGACAGGTATTATATTACATAAGTTAATCTCTTAATACTGGATCACAGAGCCCTGTTACAGGGCAAGCAATAAATTACGTTTCTGTGAGTAACTTCGCATAATTTTGTATTACATTCGTCTCTTGTACATTTAACATATTAAAAGAAAAAGTATATATATTAGCTTGCCTGTCTTTGAAATTTTAATGTCTGACACATTTAATGTCTGACGCGATTGCTTTCGCAAACTGGAAAGCGCCTGCAGGCTCTGCACGTGTTCTTCCTCTCTCTCTCTCTCTCTCTCTCTCTCTCTCTCTCTCTCTCTCTCTCTCTCTCTCTCTCTCTCTCTCTCTCTCTCTCTCTCTGTTTCTCTTTTCCATTTCTATGAATTACACCAAAAGATTCAAAAGACAAGTTCATTCATTGGAGACATTGGCACTCTTTAAGAGCGCGCGTTATTATATATATGAAGTTAATTTTTCTGTGTGAGATGTTAAATATACTTTCAGACGTTCTTCGATTTTTCAACGTTCAAGTAAATCTTTTCTTTTTCTTTCGTAAATATTATTCTTAACAACATATCAATTACAATTGTTTGCTAGTTCCCTATGAAATTGCTGGTATCTCGAAATTTACACTGAGATTTTCGGATTGCGCTAACTTGACGATAGTAGATAGCTTCACCGCAACTCGTGCAGCCTCGTCAAGATCGTCGATCGGTACTATCTTTAAGCCTGCGTTCGCAATCAAAGCTTTGGCTTCGTCAACGTTAGTACCCTGTGAACACCAAATACATCACGTCATGTGAAATTCCAGCCGATTAAGTGGAATGTGAAATATATCGGAGATGTACTCTATACCTGTAATCTAACGACCACGGGGATCTTTAAACTTAATTCCTTAGTCGCTGCGATAATACCCTCCGCTATGACATCGCATCTCATGATGCCTCCAAAAATATTAACTAGAAGAGCGTGAACCTACACGGAAAAGAATACACGTGTATCAGAAAAACAAACAAATTACTGCGTAATGTTGATAAAATTTAAAATTTCTACAAACTCTGAAAATTAAGAGAACGAACGTCTTTTGGTAAACTTTTCTTTCTAAATTAAAGATTATTTTATATGAAGAGATAAAGATATAATTCTTTACAAGGCAAAGATATCATTATGTGATACGAGATACAAAGGTCAATCGTATATCTTGACTGAAAGTGCTAAAAAAACGCTTGCTGCATGCCTCATATTACGCAATTTCATTGTATGTTAATGAACGATACAAACAGCGATACCGTTTACTCACCCGTGGATCAGAAGTGATGATCTTAAATGCCTCTTTCACCGCAGAGGTTGATGCACCACCGCCAACGTCGAGGAAATTGGCCGGTTCGCCGCCATGCAGTTTTATGATGTCCATGGTGGCCATGGCTAAGCCAGCTCCGTTCACCATGCAGCCGATATTACCATCGAGCGCGATGTAATTCAGGTCGAATTTGGCGGCGTCGACTTCTTTCTTGTCCTCCTGAGTCCAGTCTCTCAAACTGAACAGTTCCTTCTGCCTGAACTCGGCATTGTCATCGAACCGACACTTGCAGTCCAGAGCAAAATCTATAAAAAGAAAATAGTTGCGTTCAATTCCAAAGTAATGTCAAAGGAATTGCATTTTTCTCACTGGAACTGGTACGAATTATGACTCACAGTTTCCGTTAATGTCCTCGGCGAGAGGATTTACTTCTAAGAGAAGAGCGTCTTTCTTGAGGAACATTTGGTAGAGATTCATAATTATATCAGAAATATAGTCCTTCACATTCTCGAGGCCGAGCTTGTTAGTTATACGCTCTGCTTGCTCCTTTGTAATGCCTTTATTAATGTCGATAGGTTCATACATGATGGCACCAGGGTTTGTCGCGGCAACCTCTTCGATGTTCACCCCACCTTGGCTGGACGCTATTATGACGGGACCCTGGAATTGAGAGTATGTTTGTCAGAATCATTTTTTTTTAATGTTTTACTATATACTGGGTTTCAGTATATAACGGATGACAAAATCCAAACTAAACCTGCTTACACCAAAGGCTCTTTCCATCATGACAGCAAGGTAGTACTCCTTGCGGGGGAACATACGTTGCGTCACCATCACAGCGTTGCATATCCGGCCAGCTTCGCCGGTCTGCTTAGTGATCAACAGCTTGCCCAGCATCTGACCCGCCAAAGCTTTAGCTTCTTCCGGGCTACGAATGAAGACAATAAGTGCAACGGCAATCCTCAACATAGTCGGAACTTTCCTCTATATGATATTTTTTTGCGATATAATACGATTATATACGGTCATCACTCACGTCTCACACATCTTTACTCCGCTCACGCTGGACCCCTTGAAATGTCCTTTTCCTCTGCCGCCAGCGAGGACCTGAGCTTTCAGGACGATGTCCTTCGACTGCAGGCCGGCAGCGAGTTTGGCTGCCTCGTCAGGAGTTTTGGCAACGCCGAATTTCGGAGTTGGTACGCCAGCTTCGTTGAGTAAACTGTAACTGATGTGTTCGTGTACATTCAAGTTCCTGGCCTGCTGCTTTGCTACGTTGGTCTTGCATGCTAATATCTGAAAGTTCGAGGAAGATCATACACAGTGACTATGGTGCGATAAATTAGTGGAACGATTTACTGTAACACAATTATTTCTTATTTATAATATCATTTCTATATTGTAATTATTTATATTATAATTATTAATTATAGTAAAACACCAAATTTTATTGAAGAATTATTGAAAAACTGATTGCAGGAGACGTCGCGCTGGTATCATTGCGCTGCGATTTCAACACTTTTTTCCTCGATGCATTTCGAGACGCATTTCCGACTTCTAACAGGGAGAAGTTGTCTAAAAAATACTCAAAGGCAAACTTTTCCGCTGGACGTTAATTACGTTCCGAAGCACAAGTCGTAGAAAGCGTGTAAACTTTACACGAGTATACACGGTGTACGCAATAATACCGCTGTTGAACATTCTTGCGCAATTCTTCGAGATTATATATACGGCAAAAGTTTACGTTACACACATTCATTATAGCATAGAAACCGATAATTGATTGATAATGCAGCATTCCGGTATCATATACGAGATAAATGAGTAGGTTAAAGTACGCGTGGATCATTATAAAACATGCGTCACATTTATAGAGTATGAATCTATACCCGAAGGCTAACCAGAGTGGCAATGAATTATATATTTCTATTGCACGCATCTTTTATGCACAACTTGGCAATGGCGCTTTTTTACGCAGCACGTAAGATTGCACAATAATAAACTTTAAACCTTTCGTGTCTGGTAGGACATACGTGTCCCAGAACTTAAAAAATTCATATCTCCCACAAAAATAAAGATAGCGGTTTCTTCTTGAGCTGATTTTAAAAAGGAAAAATAGGACTCTTCACATAAAAATCAACATCCTTGTTAGTTTCATCCTCCAATCTGCATATCTCATCAAATACTCGTAAAACAGAATAAAAGTAAAAAATATATATATATATGTATTCCATAAAAATTAAGATGGCAAGTTCTTCCTGGGCTCACATTTTGAAGGTCAACGTAAGGGCTATATGAAATAAAATTGCTACTTAATTTCAAAATGACGGATTCAATATGGCGGAACAAAATGTGAAATTTCTTTGAATTTGAATGAAACTCATTTTTCAGGCGTTTTTTGAGTCGCTGATAACGAATCTAAAGTCAACATTTTCAAATTCAATATAGTCATATCTAATATAGCTGACAAAATGTAAATAAACAAGGTCGACTCAATTTTATTCACATTTCGTGGAATTGTTTGAAGCACGGAATGAGACAGAGTGGAACTTTACACGCTATGCATATTGAATTCGTCATTTTTAACTTTGAAATTTTGACTACAGATTCATAATCAGCGACCCAAAAATCTCTGGAATATGAATTTTACTCGAATCCAAGAAAATTTTACATTTTGGTTCGCCATATTGGATTCGCTATTTTGAATTCTGAAATTTTGACTACAGATTCATAATCAGCGACCCTAAAACCCTTTAGTAATTATTCCTAGAAAAAAGTCAGGCCCGAAAGGATTAAACTACTAGTTTTCTTTTCAATGTCGTGGAATGGTTATCCGTACTCATTTGTAGATAAAGGATTTTTTAACAAGAGAATTCTTCCAATCGGCAGGAAGAAAAATTTATAAACGTCCGTGATGATGTCTCTAAAAATGTGATGAACCTATCAGTGAAACCCAGGAGCGACTCAAAATTTCCAGGGTACCTCACAAAAAAATGGAAAGAGATAAGGACATAGAAAATTATCTCTCATACTCCTTCGGTGCATACCCTTGGTATATCCTTGCGTAAAAATGAATTCGAGTTTTACTACTTCGTGCCATCAGCATGACGCGTGGTCGACTTTGACAACCGAGCACGTGCTCAATAGGCACGAGGCATTTCTTTCTCCCACTCTCTCTCTTTCTCTCTCTCGCTCCCTCATTTCTCCGTTCTAAAAACGAGTGACGTGAGCGAACTTTTTCGCAAGCGAAGAAAGCAACGGTCAACGTTTGCCGCGCGCGTGAATGAACGAACGAACAAAGGGATCGATCGATCGTCCATTTGTCCTCTCTACATTGTTAGCTGTTACTGCGCACTCGGATCGTCCTTCCTGAAATAGCCCGACGATCATGATTATTGACCGCGCGCGCGCGCGCTCGATCGTTTGACAAGTATTGCTCTCTCCCCCTAGGTAATTTCGTTAATCGCAATGAAACGCGGGCGGATGTTTTCATCAGGAAACGGGGACGCTGCGGGCTCGATGCGATCGACGCGGAGGGTGATTGCGTAATCGTCGGGTCGATTTTTCGTAAAAAATCGTGCGATCGGCAGAGCGCCGCTTGGCTTCGAATCGCTCGACCCTGGCGCTCAATTTAGCAGACCACTTTGCGGTCTACTATGGCGGAACGTCCTTCTTCGTTCCTCCCTCTCTCCCTCTCTTTTTCTCGTACTCGCTCCTTCTCTCCTCTCTCTCTCTCTCTCACGGGCAAGTCCTCGTCGGCCGCGAAACGCGGATGTTCTCTGCATGTTTTTCCAAGGACGTGCGAGGCGTGTAATCGACACGGACGCGAAAATCTGCTCACGTACCTTGGAGCTGTTGAAACGGCCGAAGTTCTCCGCGAACAAGATCGCCCGCGACAACATGGTGGCCATCTTTGCTTAAGCGACGGCGACGAACTGACACCAAGCGCCAGTTTCGGTCTCCGTCTCACTCGCGTTCCTACCCTGCTCTGCCGTATCCGTTTTTACCTTGACGTTTCACACGTCCGCATGCTCCCGTAACGCAAAGTTGACGCGACCTCGCGGCAACAAGCGGTACGAAGTGCGCGACTGTTGCGCGGCTCGTGAGCGCGGCACCGTTCGAATACGCGTAAAAGTTACATTATTTGGAAAAGTTTATCGCGACGTCGACTAGAGATATGCGAATCAAGAATCTTTATGTCGAATCGAATCTATGAAATTTCATTCGAACTCGAATTGAATCCAATGAAATCGAATCGAATCATTAAAAAATTTAACACGACTATTAAACATGCAAATAATGATGGAAGATTTTAATATGAAAAGAAATATTGATATTGTAATATCATCTTAAAATAAAATATGTATTTAAATATTTAAAGTAATTTATAATTAAGTTATTAATTATAAGTTAAGTTAATTACAAGTTAAGGATTCAAACATACAAGCCCAGATGGCTCGTTTTGTAGCTGATGCGCGTAAACGCTAAGTATTTGATTCGTATTCGAATCTTCGCGACTTGAAATTTTCGAATTATTCGGATCCGAATCATAGGGATTCGAATTCGAGTCGAATTGAATTACATTTGAATTACATTCGATTCGATTCAAATTCGAATAGTTCGCACATCTCTAATGTCATCCGACATCGACATGTGACCGGTGGAAATATTATTGCCTTCATCCTCTTTTCTTTCATGACTGCCAATTTTTCGTTTCGAAACGTTTATTGTTTCGCTTGGAAATTTTTTTTTTATTTTGTGGAATGTAATTCGGGATTAAAATATTGCTGGAGTGCTTTCGTCTTTCAGATGATTGCGTGTTTCAATTCTTATCACGATATTTAATTTATTCTGTTTTTATTTTTTATTTAAATGATCTTTATTATTTTAAAAATAATATTTGAAAAGCACGAATATACGAAGTTTCCTAGAATTGAAAATTAAAGACACAAACAAACATCTTTTTTTTTCTTTCACGAAACAAATCAACATATGCTCTTTTCGATAAAATTTCATTCGAAGCATCTCGCAAATTACGCATATAGTATTGTAAGGAAAAGCAAACGATGCATTTGTTTTATGTACAACAGGTATATTTAGTAGATAAATGCATAAAAATATCATTGCAACCGTTTCTGAGTAGTAGTTTCATTTCTTTTCTTTGTTTGCTACTTCCTCACCCCATGATTTTACTGTAATATATCTAAATCTAATTATGCCCAAAGAATATATTTCGTAGGCAAATGATGAACATATTTTTCGAATAATTCTCAAACGGCAGTGTCACTTTTTTTCTCTGGTGCTGTCTGTACTTGATTCCTTACCCGATGATTTTGTGATGATGTTCATATCTAAATTTAAAGACTTCGCGAGATTCATCATTAATGCTAACTTTACGGATGTTTCAGCTGCTTCGGCAAAATCATCTATGGAGAAAACCTTCAGCTTAGCGTCCGCTATCAATGCTTTAGCCTCCTTCACATTAGTACCCTGAGAAGAGATAAATTAACTTTTTCAGGGATACTGACATATGTATATATTCAGATATGTTCAAAATTTTTCCTTCTTTAATTCATACATTGCCATTAAAAATGTAATAAATATTAGAATCAAATATTTTATATATATTATGATTTTATATTTTATATACACACACAACATTATATCAAGTTTTCCAAAAGTAACAGACCCCCCCTATCTCAGAATCTATGCATTATAGGGAAAAGTGACTCCAACAAAAGTTTTAGGGTTCATAAAGTTCTGTTTTCTTGTGACCTCAAATTTGATCTTGACCTTGACCTTGAAGGTCATTTGAAGATTAACTTACGTTTTTTAAATGGGAACCTTTATTTTTTATTACACTATTTTTTTCTATCAATTAATTTGAACAACTCTTGTTTAAAACATTTTTTTATTTGCCTAATATTTTTTTAGGTATTTGAGGAAAACTTTTTCAATATTTAACTTACGATATCTCGCTATTTGTCGGAAGAAAAAGTGGTACTAGACTTTTCTGTTCTATTTAATCACAAGAATATATTGTTATAATAGCGTCCTGACTTTTGTTAACTTGCTGATTTTTGGAAATTTCAAAATCATCAAATTAACCAAATTCAGGGCGCTATTATAACAATATATTCTTGTGATTAAATAGAACAGAAAAGTCTAGTACCACTTTTTCTTCCGACAAATAGCGAGATATCATAAATTAAATATTGAAAAAGTTATCAAGTTTTCCTCAAATATCTCAAAAAATATTAGGTAAATAGAAAAATGTTTCAGACAAAAGTTGTTCAAATTAATTGCTTGAAAAAGATGATGTAATAAAAAGTTGGGGTATTCATTTAAGATTTTTATGTTGATCTTGACTGGATTTTTCAATGTTATCCCAAGGTCAAATTCCAAGGTCAAATAGCGTCATAGATCCCTTGAAGCCCTACAGCTTTTGTCTGAAATATTTTTCTCTAAAATTTTGCGTTAACGAAAAAATCGGGTGACCCGGGTGGTCTGAAACACCCGGTATATCTATGTATGTCATATATGTATAAACGTAAAATATCAAATTCTACAAAAAAAAGAAACATTTTTAATTTTTTTATTAAAAGAAAAATAACTCGTTATGTGACTGATGTTATATTTGTCACTTTAAAATTAAATCAGTTTCTTAACTTAAAGGAATTCATTCTTGAAGAGATAATAGCGTTATAGTGTCATAATAATCAGTAGATAAGAAAGCGATTACCTGTAATCGTACGACCACAGGTGTCTTCAAATCTAACTGTTTAAAAGCATTGATAATTCCTTGAGCTATTATATCGCATCTCATAATGCCACCAAAGATATTGACTAGAATAGCTTCCACCTGGGAGACAATTGTCAGTATTAGTCTATTATATCTGACACTTAATCTGTGCATTATCGAGTGTCATAAATGAGTAATATAATTACATTTTCACCCGCAGACAATATCTTGAAACCTTCCGTTACAGTTTCGATTGTAGCGGTGCCGCCAACGTCCAAAAAATTAGCTGGCATACCGCCGTAAAATTTTATAATGTCCATTGTGGCCATAGCAAGACCAGCTCCGTTCACCAAGCAGCCGATATTTCCATCCAAAGTAATGTAATTCAAGTTGTGCTTCTCCGCCTCCACTTCATTCGGATCCATCTGGGTCGTGTCCTTAAATGCGAATAATTCCTTCTGTCGGAAATCGGCACTGTCATCAAAGTTGCATTTACAATCCAGAGCGTAATCTGTGAAAATTAAATATACAATTATTATATAAATACAACAATAAGAAAACAATTATATGTTAAAACGATTATAAATATTATATGTACAGGGTCTGCCAAAAGTTCCGGAACGGTTAATTATTTCAAAAAAATAATGATTGTTTAAAACAATGTTTGAAACAAAAATTGTAGGGCTTAAAAAAGCTATCAGATATTGATATTGTTTGACTTTGGAATGATCTTGAGAAACGTTATCAAGGTCGACATAAAAATGTTAAATGGAAACTCCAATTTATTATACCATCTTTTTCCACCAATTAATTTGAACAACTTTTGTCTGAAACATTTTTTTATTTGCCTAATATTTTTTGAGATATTTAAGGATAACTTGGTAACTTTTCCAATATTTGAATATTTCAATATTTAACTTACGCTATCTCGCTAACTGTTTGTCAAGATAAAAAAATGATAAGAGACTTTTCTATTATATATTGGTACAATATATAATACAATAATGTACAATAATTATTTGTTGTTAATTTTTGTTAATTTATCAATCTTTCGAAATTTCAAAATCATCAAATTAACAAAAGTCAGGGCGCTATTGTAATAATATATTCTTAAAACCAAGTAGAATAGAAAAGTCTAGTACTATTTTTTTATCCCGACAAATAGTTAGCGAGATATCGTAAATTAAATATTAAAAAAGTTATCCTTAAATATCTCAAAAAATATTAGGCAAATAAAAAAATGTTTCAGACAAAAGTTGTTCAAATTAATTGGTGGAAAAAGATGGTGCAATAAAAAATTGGAATTTCCATTTAAGATTTTTATGTCAACCTTGATAACGTTTCTCAAGGTCATTTCAAGGTCAAACAAGTATCAATAACTGGTAGTTTTTTTTAAGCCCTACAACTTTTATTTCAAACATTGTTTTAAACAATCATTATTTTTTGAAATAATTAACCGTTCCGGAACTTTTGGCAGACTCTGTATATATACATATTTATTTATTTAATGGATTAATTATAATAGACAAATAAAAATTAAACCAAATTAATTTTAACAAATTAATTGCTAATAGATTAATCAATGAAATTATTTTACAAATATAATAATCATTACTTGTCACATTTGTCATCAGTTACATTAAAATGTGATTAGTTAAATTTCATTAAAGATGTAACAAATTTAAATTAAAAGTACTTACAGATATGATGTAAAGAAATTATATTTGATTAAGAAACCGAGATTTTCCTTACAAGTTTCTAGCGTGCCTTCTTATTCGCACTTTTTATGTCTGTTTATTTGCACTTACATTGGCCGCAAATATCTTCAACGAATGGATTGATCTCGAGAAGCAATGCGTCCTTCTCGATGAACAATTCATAAAGATTACAGGCGATAATCGACGCGATCTCCTTGCTCTGTCCTGTCAATCCTAGCTTATTGCCAACGCTATCCGCTTGCTCGGCTGTTAAACCTTTCCTCATGTCAATTGGTATATACGATATAGCTTCAGGATTCGTAGCAGCGATTTCCTCGATGTTCACACCGCCTTGCTTAGAAACGATCAACACGGGTCCCTTGGAAGGATATAAGTAGCAATTAATTAATTAATTAGAATGATATCATTTGTGATGAGATTGACATCCCAGGAAAAATGAATTATGTATAAATTTTACATGTGGATATATATATTAATTCTTTTACATATAATTATATATAATCATTTCTGTTTAGGATTGTGTCATTCCGAAATATTCGTATATTCTAACATTTTTATAAGTTCTAATTTCTGTATATTGAAATCTAGAGGATATACAGACATTGTGACTTTTTATTAAGATATAAGAGAATATAAGATATAAATATATATCTCGAAATCTTATTAGTTGAATGTACGAGGGTAGTACCAGAAGTACTTGACCTGACGTATAAATAGCGGTTGTTGTTTGAAAAGAATGCCTATGGTAGAAAGTACCAACCTTATAAAACTTAAGTTTGAAGTTTGACGACGTTACGTTGTTTAGTGTTTATTTGGCAGCCATCAATAGTGAACGCTCTCAGTGAATTTGTAAACATGGAAAAAATTGGTCATCGTTATGTGATACAATACTTTCATTTGATAGGCCTCAGTCCAACCCATATCAAAGCGGAGCTAGATTCTACTCTGGGAGAGTCTGCTCCTTCGTTTACAACAGTAAAATATTGGGTGGCAGAGTTTAAACGAGGCCGTATGAGCTGCCAAGACGAACATCGCAGTGGTCGACCAAATGAGGTGACCACGCCAGAAACGGTAAAGAAAATCCACAAAATGGTATTGGATGACCGTCGACTAAAAGTGTGCGAGTTAGCAGACATGGTAGGCATTTCAAAAAGTGCTGTACATCGCATATTGACTGAAAATTTGGACATGAGAAAGCTGTGCGCAAGATGAGTGCCGCGATTGGAACAAAAACAACGTCGTGAGGATGTTTCAATCGAGTGTTCGGCGAAGTTTCGCAGCAATAAAGCCGAGTTTTTGCGTCAATTCATAACCATGGATGAAAAAACACGGGTCCATCATTTCACACCTGAGACGAAGGAACAGTCAAAACAATGGACCAAGGTGACTTGATGGCTATTATGAGGAGCTCGACGATTCCCACTATAAAGAGGGTATCGAAGCTATTGAACATCGCTGGGAAAAGTGTATTGAGCTAAAAGGAGACTATGTAGAGAAATAAAGATATTTTTTCTCAAATTTTTTGTGTTTTCTTTGTTAGGTTAGATACTTCTGGGACTATCCTCGTATGTCAGTATTGCGTCAGAAATAAATGGTGCATGCAGTGATACGTACGTCGAAGGTACGTTCTAACATCATCGCAAGATAATATTCCTTACGCGGAAACATGCGCGTCGTTATCATCACAGAGTTACATATCTTTCCAGCTGCACCCGTCTGCTTCGTCACCAAAACTTTGCCGATCATGTTATTTGCCAACTTCTTCGCCTGTTCAGGCCTGCAAAAAAACGAAATATTATCGTTTGATCTTTTAGCACTTCCTACTATATTTCGCAATAAGATGACACTGATGAGGCAATAAATTATAAATTATTTCTTCATCATTATTATCATTAAAATCATTTTTGTAGAGAATATTTTGCAAAACACTTTTATATTAAGCTTTTGTATTAAGAGAAAAAGTATTTATAGAGATCTAAAATATTTATTCAGCGAATGTTAATACTTATACTATATTAATAAACATATTTTTACACTAACATAATACTCTTTACGTGAGAAAATACACATTTTTCTTAAATCGTAATTTTGCATGTAAATGATTGTTCATTTTATTAAAAACAAAATAATTTAGTAAGATAAAGTTTAAATAAATATAAGTAATATGTTATTAGGGCCCATTGAATAAATATTTTATCCCTTTTAAGTATTTTTATTTTTTCAGCGATTTTATATGTAAACTCAGTTATTTTAAAAGGCAGAACAGAAAATTATGACATCAAAATGATATCAAAATGACGAAAAAATGACCGAATTATGATGAAAAAAGCGAGTTTTTTCTCATCACTTTAATACATCATGGGTGTCTTCATATTGTTTTCCACAAAAGATTTATCGATTCCTCTTATAGGTGTTCAAAAAAATATTTAGGAGACGTACTTTTAATTGTTTTAAAATGCGCATCTATGATTTGTTATACAACTTGATAATGTGTCACCAATATATTTATATCTTCGCAATCCGTGAAGTAATTTATGATTAAACTTACGTTTCGCACATCATAACACCGCTGATGTCAGTGCCTCGAAATCTCCCCATTCCTCTACCTCCAGCGAGAACCTGGGCCTTTAGTACGATGTCCTTGGTCTTGAAATCCTTGGCCAAAGCGGCGGTTTCGTCGGGTGTCTTGGCTACTTCGAAAGATGGAGTAGGGATTCCGGCTGTCTTCAATAAGGTATATGCGACATGCTCGTGCACTTCCAAATTACGCACCATTTGTTTGATAACTGATGCTTTGTGCGATAATACCTGCGTGTGCGAAAAGTGTCTTGTCATACTTTATAAATTGTACACGTTCATAAAAGAATTACACAATTTTATATAATATATAATAAATATAGTTTATAAATATATTAAAATTTTAATATACAGAGTGTCTTAAAAATACCGGAACCCCTGGCTAACTTTGTAGGATCAAGTTCTCATGAAAAACTTTAAATACAATAGTTGTAGAAAATCGAGTAACGGACTTGATGGTGACCTTGAATTTGACCTTGGCCATGACCTTCAAGGTCATTTGGAGGTCAACTTGCGTTTTTTAAATGAGAACCCTTATTTTGATAATTTTGAAATTTCCAAAAATCAGTAAGTTAACAAAAGTCAGGGCGCTATTGTAACAATATATTTTTGAGACTAAATAAAGCAAGAAAGTCTAGTACCTTTTTGTCTTCCGACAAATAGTTAGCGAGATATTGTAAGTTAAATATTGAAAAAGTTATCAAGTTTTCCTCAAATATCTAAAAAAATATTAGGCAAATGAAAAAATGTTTTAGACAAAAGTTGTTCAAATTAATAGAAAAAACAGTGTAATAAAAAATAAGGGTTCCCATTTAAAAAACGCAAGTTGACCTCCAAATTACCTTGAAGATCATGGCCAAGGTCAAATTCAAGGTCACCATCAAGTTTGTTACTCGATTTTTTACAACTTTTGTATTTAAAGTTTTTTATGAGAACTTGATCCTGCAAAGTTATTCGGGATTTCGGTATTTTTAAGACACCTTGTATTAAAAATTTTAATATATATTTTAATGTATTAAAATATTTATAAATATATTAAATGGTACTATATTATTTAATATATCAAATAGCGTACACAACACATACGAACAACAGCAACAACAGCATGCAAATTTTTGCTTGTTAATATTACATATTAAATAATATAGTAAATATATTTCATGTGAACACAAAAATTTGTGCAAGAAGATCCATATATTTCACACACGCAGGACATAAAATTACATTTTTTACCTGTTTGTTTATCTTTCTCGCACATACTCTCACTAGAAATGACATTATAAACACAATAACAGTTAGCAGTGACAGCTCATCAAATTTCTTTGTATGGGCTGCTTACACGTACACAAACACAGAAACGAGACACGCGCGTTACTTCCTCTATAAAATTATCAAAACTCTGACATATTGTTCACACAGTTAGGCGTCTCTTCCTCTCTGTCCTTGCAAATATCCGCATTGTGCAAAAATTTCAATTCATTCACACTTCATGAGACTTGAAAGGATACACTCGGAGGATACACTTCGGGTGTATTCATGTGTGCAACATATGGATGTAGCGAACAGAGTAAGCAATGAACGCAGATTACGCTCGCTTCTTGTTTTATTTTAACGGTGATAAGAGCACCGATTCACAGCGTGCGCACGATGATTAGTATCCGGACGATACTTCAATCTACTGCACGTTTGTTTTTGTCGTGTTGAAAATATCCTCATTGTTCGGATATGTTTCTGCAATTGCGTTGTATTCAGCAGCCTTTGTTGAGAGCTGCCGCTTGCGTGAAATTATTCAAAGCGAGCAAATATTTCGTTTGCAATTTATATCGAGTGGAAAACAGACAATGTTTGTTCTTCTTCTCTTCTTTTCGCTTGTAGAGTTTCTTGAAACTGTGCAAACACTGTAGGATTTAAAACACTCCCAGCACTCAATCGTAAAAACCGTTTCCCGTAAAATGTTTAAAAACTCTGGAACTATGATATACATTTTTAACATAACGTAATGTCAATCCGCTTGATTTGACTTTCTCGGTCTCGGAAGTGTTCTCAAGAAGGAAGGAAGGAGATGATTCTGGATTTTTTACAATCGGACATATAAGTTGACATTTTGGATTGATTTTTATACCACTATCTCTTGTTGAGATTATTGAAGTGTTCTCTGTTGAAATCTCTACACCAGTCCACTTCGTTCACCAATCAATCAATCTAATGTGTACTTAATACAGGTCGCTCCCCTCTTCCTGAAGTAAAGTGAAATGTTTCATGGAACGTTGGAAATATAAGTCTATAAAGGACGCAGCATTAGCTTATAAGGTCAAACATTTTTCTACACCACGAAAACCTAAAATATTAAGGTCATGTGAATCTATAGATTTTTAGTAACTGTCAGATACATTGTGTGAGACACTTTCTATATTCTACAATCGGAGAAATCGAAGTAACGGTTACACTTTTCGCTTTCTTTTTCTTCAAGATACAAAACTATAAACTTAACACGACTAAGGACGCATGTTTATTTTCGAGTGACATGCGAGATCGACGGCTGATATAAGATTAACATGTTCTCTAGCGTAGTTAATTTGTGGAACCCTCCTTCTCGTGGGTCACCATTCTTTCAACATAATTATGTAAAACAGACTTGATTCACTTATGTGGATCATCGACACATCAAATGTCAATTAAAAAGATAAATAAAAATTAATTATTTAGATAGAGCACAGACCTCCAAGAGACGTCTCTAAGACAGACAAGTTCTTGAAAGATTTGTGCTGTCCGAGTGATTGTATAAAGAAAACTGATCGGTTACATCTGTGTGACCCTGATAACGAACATGTTAATTAATTACGATTGCGCAATAACAAGGCTAGGAACTTAACAGTACGTAATATAAGTGCGTTTTCATTGTGTTTATTGTGAAAGGAGTTTATAATCTACTTGTCTACCACTCCGATGTGTGGATTCCAGTACATATTACACGCGATGTGTATCACTGTAATACATGTAAATCCGTGTTTAGGTTTAGATTATGTAATTTATATTACACAATAACAAGGCTGCTTTGACGCAAATACAGGTGCTACCAAATAAACAGCCTTAATTGTAAAGCTGTCTTACAATTAAATTAGAGAAATCGTTTTCTAGTCTATAAATTAAAAATCGTGAGATAGATCAACACATAAGATAGCTGTTGATTGTACGTAATGATTACGCGAAAATGTGAATCCTCTCGTATTTATATTTCAATAGCACCTAAAGCAATCATGATTTGTAGTAATCTGCATTTATAATCTTTATCAATAGAGATTAAGAAAAAAAAAAGAAAACTAGTGATTGAGATTTGTACTCCTTAAAAACGAATAAAGATAGATTTGAAAGATATGCAGTCTCTCTCAAATGTATCATTTTACACACACAGTTCATTACAAATTCAACGTGTATTATTTATGTTTAAGGTGTCTTTCTTTTGCACTAAATATCATAATTTCAATGATTCTTCAAGTTCATTATATTTAAATAATAATACACATCTCCCCTGCTCGTCCTCTACGTTCCGTAGTCATAGGTATATAAATGCGCAAAAGTCAATGGTAGCGTCCGATATAGCCAGTAATACTAAAGATTTTACAATCTTATTGCATACAGAAGGTAAAACGAAGTTTCATTAATTGCAACAAATAAAGCTTACGAATACTACTCGCACATACGACATATATCTAAAGAAGCATTATAAATTTTAATGAAAATACACGATGACTCCTCTCTGTAGTTCGTTTTCTCTAAAAATATTAACACAAATAAGAATTCCTCTAGAGGTATTTTCTATGCACGTCAACGTTACAAACCAATATATAAACGATATATTACCCCAAAAATAAATCTATGCACTTGCGAAACAAAAATGACAAAATATCTGTTAACATGCGTTTTATCAATTTATGGCGCTTTTTCATCATTAATTCGGCGAGGGATAAAAAGAAAAAAACTTTATTTTTATTTAACAGCTCTCAGGTCATCCATGTTTGTTAACGCATAAAAATTAATTACTCTTTCTTCTCTAACATCTTTCTCGATAAATCTAAATGTAAAATTTCTGTCTCGGTATCATATGTTCTTCAAAAGCTAAACCGATCGTTGAGGGTTCGTCCGGTAACGCCAAGATTCCCTGACAAGCTGTACATAACCTCGCTGAAAGTACGATCGTCGACTTCACCGCTGGAATCCGACGCGGCGGTGTTGTGTGTACGCGAGCGAGATCGCGATCTCGATCGCGAGCGTGCCCTGCCGAATAACGGTGATCGACCAACCTGTAATTTCAATTTGACATTAGACACGTTCGTCAAACCCAGCTGATGATGATCTAAAAAAGAAAAAAAAAAAAATGATATGAGAGAATACACACCATGTTTAATCCTTGTGTGCTCTGTCTGTATGGCGATCGACCCCTAGGCATCTGTCGTGGAGTACTAATTGTTGCAGAGTGTCGATTCTGCGCGAGGGTGAGCGGCCGTTGACGCATGGTAGGTGTATAATCGCTTCCTAGTGTGCACATGAAGTTAATATTTGGACTGGGTGCTAGTAGGGCGGAGCTGCAACATTACATTAATTAATACCATGTGCAAATGAGTGTCGTCTCAATTAGAGTGAACGTATATATAGGCTGACCCACGTAAGGTGAGGCATACAGGGTGAGGAAAAAAGATGGAAAATCTGGAAAGATATAAGTTTTATAGAAAAGTGTTTCAGACAAAAGTTATAAGGTTCAAAACGATCTATTTACTGATCTTATCAGTTTGACTTTGAATGTCAAGGTCAACTTATTTTTTTTAAACAGAAATTCCAATTTTTTATTATATCATCTTCCTCTACCAATTAATTTGAACAACTTTTGTCTGAAACATTCTTTTATTTACCCAATATTTTTCGAGATATTTAAGGAAAACTCGGAAACTTTTTCAATATTTAACTTACGATATCTCGCCAATTATTTGTCGGAAGAAAAAATGCTATTAGACTTTTTTTACTCTGCTTAGTCTCAAGAATATATTGTTACAATAGCACCCTGACTTTTGTTAATTTGATGATTTTGAAATTTCCAAAAGTCAATAAGTTAACAAAAGTTAGGGAACATATTATAACAATGTTCTTGAGACCAAATAGAGTAAAAAAATTTAGTACCATTTTTTCTTCCGACAAATAAGTTAGCAAGATATCGTAAGTTAAGTGTTGAAAAAATAATCAAATTTGCCTTAAATATCTCAAAACATATTGGATAAATAAAAAAAATGTTTCAGACAAAAGTTGTTCAAATTAATTGGTAGAAAATAATATAATAAAAAATGGGGATTTCTGTTTAAAAAAAATAAGTTGACCTTGACCTGACCTTGGCAACGTCACTCAAGCTCACGTTACGTCAAACTAAAAAGATCAGTAAATACATCGTCTTGAACCTTATAATTTTTGTCTGAAACACTTTTCTATAAAACTTATAGCTTTCGAGATTTTTAAGGGTTTCCATCTTTTTTCCTCACCCTGTATATATAACTATATATAGTATATAAATCATGATTTACTTCATCCTTTCAATTTTTTGTTCATACTGTGCACGCCTCTGTGCACGGGCGATCTGGTCGGATCGCAATCCACCGGTGGTGAAGCGACGTTGAGATGTTAATATCTGCTGCCTACGTTCAAGAGGTCTCGGTTGCATCGAAAGCAGAGTCTTTCCAGTCTGTGCCAACTATGCCAAAGAAATTCGTATTTATATCATTGATGCGTCATTATATCTCAACATCATTTTCTCAACTCATTATCTCAATCGCATTGTCATTTTTCCTAAGTACTTGAAGGGACTCCTTTAAAAGTTATTCAACTTAGTAATATAATAATGCTCTTCTGTCATGTAATTATAAATGAATAAAGAAAAAAAAAAAGAAAATTATCAAAACGATTGGCGAAACGCTAGTCTTTTAGCGAAAGAAAAACATTTAAACTTATAATCATGTATTTAAATTAATTAAATTCATTAATTAATATCCCGCGCTAGCTCTTCCCTTTGATTTCCCTTCTATCTTCGTTGCATAATCTCAAGATCAGACTATTGAATATTGTCGCAACACAAGAAAATATCCAATTGACCGAGTAAAGACTTTCTGCATGAATCTTGCTGTTCCTACAAGTGTAAGTTTGGTTCCCCGAATAACGTAAAATTTAAGCTTTGTTTCCTGCTGCTGAACTGACCGCACCACCTTGCACCAGTCCTCTCTCCTTTTTTTTTCTTTCCAATAAGCTTTATCTGTCTTATTTGACTAATCTGTAAGTTGCGTAAGTCCAACGACAGGAAGCAAAGCTTCAGTTACACCAACGAAGTGGTTTCTACCGTACGGAATATCAGACTCACTCTGAGCTGATTCTGCAGACTCAGTCTCTGATTCTGTCGCTGCAACAGTAGCTGCTTCGCCCGCTTCACGCGGTTGCGGTAGGCAATCTGAGCAGGGCTCTGATAGCCCAGCCGATTATGCACGGAGGTCGGGTCGCGCAGGTTCGGCAGACTGTTCGTCCTCTTGAGCAACGGGCTCTTGTTGTTGGTGAAGAAGCCGGCCTGATTGAACGTCAGGTTCGTGCGGCTTCTGCTGCGCGTCAAGCCGAATCTGTTGCCGCCTCTGCCGCGACGACCCGCGTTGAAGCCAGCAGCACCGCCACCACCTCTGGCATTGTTCGTCTTCTGATTTAAGCTCAGGTTGCTCCGCGATCTCACGAGATTCCTCTTGTAGCGGTTCTTCGCGAAGCTGCCGCGCACGTTACTATTACTCGCCCCGCGGCTCTGCCAAGTCTGTTTTTTTTTCGCGATGGTGCCGACATTGCGATTGACTCTCGCACTTCCTCTGCCTCCTCTAAAGCCGGCCCGGCCGCGTACACCGCTGCCGCGGTTGCGTTTAACGCCGCCGTTGATCGTCCCGGCCTTTTTCTTTTTCTCCTTTTTCTCCATCTTTATGATCTCATCTTAAAAGGAAGAAAACGCGCATCGTTTAATGAGAGCGTACGGCACCGTGCACGCGCGATATGCGGTTGCTGATGAAACCTTTAACTCGATACATTTTAAGGATATTGCGCGCCCCTTCTTGAAACGCGAATACATATATATATGTATAATGTGTGTGTGTGGGTGTATACATATATACATGTTTCATATCGCTGGAAATTATGGATTATCACGTGCATACTTTAGGCCGAGACCAGAAATATCATTACGTTCGTGGCGATCCCAGCCAGACGTTTTGCCTGTAAAGATTTTTCGTGTAGGCAGTACAGCCTAGGGTGCGATCCTCTCGTGGATGTATCCTCTCTTACATCGCGAGTGATTCTCGACATTTGGATTTGTTAGCACGGGAGGGACTAATGAGGCACATTTAGCGTCGTTCGCAAGATTAAATTGCAAATTCGCCCGCTTGCGTCGATTGCATCGAGTTCCTGTCGATCGGACGGAAGAAAAGAGAGAAAAAGAAAAGTACACACTGAAACGATGGAAAATATACGCGTGGCGACGTGTCCAACGAGAAGGAATTCAAGAGTAAAACCCAGAGAAGCTCGTGGAGAAAAGGACGATCGAAACGACGAGTCTCTCGATGAATCGGAAAGCAAGGAGAATTTAGAAGAAAATCAAACGAACGTTCGTCTGGCCGACTTCGAGCGAGACGCCATAAGTGCTCTCAGAGTATGGCGGTTAATTAAAGGACTTAAAGTGATCTTTGCGGCTCGCATTGTCGATCGTCTTGGATCATCTCTTTTTTTCCCCCACGTCCGTCGCTCGCCGGCGGATCAAGCATCACGCGCGAGGTAGTGCGCGATATTCGCGCTACTCGTCGCTCCTCGCGCGCGGCAAGGTCGTTACGTTTCCTTCCTTACGAAGTCAAGCCGCATCTTCGTCATCGCGATTGGTCGCCGCCTCCTCTCCATGCGTCTATTATCGTCTACCTCGCTGGTCGTCGCGCTTGTCAGAGGCCTCTCGAGAGACGCGCCTCCTGCACACACACACACACACACACACACAGATTTGCCGTCGACCTTCGGCTGCTCGGCGACCGAGCGACCGAGGGCAGCGTGCAGCAGCAGCACCACCACCACCACTTTGCTCCCCGTCCGATTACTACGTTATAACCAGCCTGCATCACGAGTGCCTGCATTTTGTCTAACATCGTCGGCGAGTATCCCGCCGATACTGATCACTAATGGGAAGTGAGCTTATCTCGAGCGTTGCGTACGCTGGGAAAGAGGTTTTTGCTCCAGAAGTCGAAGTTTCATTCGCTTCACGTCTATCTCGGCTACTCGACTCGGTCGACCCACGTCGAGGTGTTTGCTCGAGTTGACGACTCGCTTATCCGGTAATACCTGAGCCGCGAACGGGAGCGGAATCCAGCTGTTACGACCTGCACACTGCTGACGGTCGATGGATAAAATACAGCGTGTATCATCTCGCCAAAGTGGTGTCCCGTTTCCCATATTTGGTGGACCGTCGAGCGGAAAAAGCATCGTCATCGTCGCGGTGCAACAGCAGGTAAAAATACCGACGGGCAGTTGCGCAAACGTCGACCGTCTCCCACACGCGGCGACGCCGCGAAAGCGAGGTGATTTTCGTGAGGGGGGCGATGAGTCACGCTCGTATGCGCAACAACGACGAGTATGCTTGGCGTCTGACTTTCTCACACGGATATCAGGCTTTGCTGTAGATAGTTATCACATGACCGAGCCTTTGAACTTTCCAAATGCCAATTTCCAGCCTGCTGAAGCCGAGCTTTTCGATCCTGGCTATTGTAGTGGTTCGAATAAAGTCATTCTATCCACGAATCTTGCCAAGTCGTGCAGTAATTGGTATACTTGAAGACTGTTGGAACGAACAATATCCTGGAGGGAAATGATACAAAATTAACGTTAATCTTTTGCAAGGCCTGTCTCAGGGATATTTTCGACTTCTTTGCAGAAACCAAACTAAAATGGAGCAACGTTGTTTGGAGTCTGCTTGTACAACATAACAATGTATCAAGTGACGTCTCTCTTCATTGTAGGGAGATCTCAACCATATGCTAGAGATTATATGAAAACTAATTGACCTTTTTGTTGACTCGCTTCCCTGGCGCGACATGTTTTCCCAGCACTACTGTCCCTCCGGTTTCTTTCTCCAAATTGCTGGCACGTCTGTGAGCCAGTTTTATCACAACATTCTCTGGCATCTCGATTCTCTCTAGTTCTCACCTGCTAATCTCGACATCTTGTCCTTAAGCTAAGTACACGCGGCTTTTTCATGATCTAATCAGGACTCCCATCAGCTTCCGGTTAAGCTCTTTTCTTCTTGAGCAGAGCGAAGGAAAGCAAGGTCACACGACTGCGAGAAGCACGATCAACCACTACGGTGGGAGTCGGAAAGGTCCTCCGCCTCGTTCCTGCGTGCTTCTCTCGAGTTTCTCACAGACATGCTTCTAGACTCACTCCCATCGCCCCTAGATGTCGCTTTTCTGCCAAAATTATCACGATTACGCGAGAGCGAGCCCGATTGTCTCAAGGTAAATCTAAACGGACGCAGATAACTTCTTCCGTCGCTCCTCCCGATGACTCCCGCATGCGAGCTTCGTTGTTTTTCTTCCCATAAGCGAGTAATTCCCCTTAGGAGTATAAATCGTCGCGGCATGCGATTCCTGTCTCTTCCTGTCTATTCGAATCCCCTTGTTTTCCTGACCCTCTCTTTTTTTTCTCTCTCTCTCTCTCTCTCTCTCTCTCTCTCGAGGAAATCCAGCAACGACCGCGACATAGACAATGCAGACAATGCCAACGTAGCACAATCGAGAAGAATGATACGAGCTAAGGAGCAACGTGTATCGAAGAAAGTTTGGCGCGCACTTCACCCCCTCTCCTTCCCTCTAGCTCTTTCTCGTATAAGAACGTTGAAGAATAACATCTCTTCCCTCGCACGACATGCGTCGTGACTTTTTTTCTTTTCGACCACCGACAAAACGTGCCGATTGATCACGCAGCGGACAAGGATTGTGCTTGTTCGGCATGTAATTTTTTTTTTCTCGCATAGTCCTTTGGTCGGCCTTGAACGGTGAACCCGTTGCGCGCGTGCGGATAAACTATACAAATGTGAAAACAAATGCAGGCACTCTACGCGCGCACGTGCATACGCACAGACGCAGGCACGTACGCACGTCACGACGCCATTTTCTAGTCGACCGTATCGACAAAGGGGCAACGTGCCCGGGCAATATGCCCGGGACTTTCTTTTACTGGCGAAACCGTTAGAGACTGTTGGAATGGACACTGGCCACTTACCGAGCGACATGTTCACTTTCGCGTCAATCTCAGCCATTTTTTTGCGGCTCTTATCTCTCGCTCTGTCTCTTTTTCTTCCTTTCTTTCTTTTTCACCTTTTTCTCTCTCTCTCTTCCTCTTTTTCTCACTCTAACTTTGTGTCTCTCTCTTTCCGCCTCTATCGTTCTCGCGATGTCTCGCGTGTTGCACAAGATGCGTATCGTCGTATCAACTTGCTAACTCGTGGCTTCTTCTTGCTTCCGCGACTCGCGACGAGTTCGTTTCTCACAGCGCGTTTTCCTAATCGCACATATACGTCCCTATGCGCGCACGCACGTAGTCGTGACGAATTAAACGAACAAAGCGCGACAAAATACGAGCATACTAAGCAACAGACGATCGAGAACGAACTGACTGAAACCAACTCAACGATAGATGGCCGCTGCCGCACCGTTGTCGCTTTTGGTTTCCCCATATCCACTACGAGGCGCTGATGTCTCTTGTAAAGGCCGATATTCATGGTCAGATCTTAAGCACAGTATACACAGTAACGACACTCTCCAAATTTCCCGTCCCCAAAAATGAACTGCACATACGCAGCCGTGTTACCTAACTTAAGCCAGCGGCACACGATGCTTGTTTTCGTGCTGGATTGCTTGCTGGATGAAAATACTGCGTTCTGATTGGTACATTTCCGAAGATGGATGGAAATGCACCAATCAGAACGTAGTATTTTCATCCAGTAAGCAGTCCGGCACGAAAACAAGCACCGTGTGCCGCTGGCTTTAGATTTATGCCTATTTCCATCAATTTCATCGGCTAATTATCCCATCGGAATTGATCAGTCGCGTTTGTTATTAATTAATGTTGACAAACGCGATTGGTCTGATGGAATAATCAGCTGATCAATTTAATTAACGTTAGCAAAAACCGACATTGCATGTAAAACTTCATCGTACAGATGTTGTATGAATCATTTAATTAGCTACGGTGTATCTGAAAATGAATTTAATGATTCAGAAATAAACCTAGCTCTGAATACCAACCAAAGAATAAAGGCCCATATTTATAGTCAGGACTTGTTTATAAAAAAAAAGCAGAACAGATTTTGCTATTAACGTCTTTATTGTATGTTACGTAAAATACATAGTTTGTGTCACGTATATTATAGATTTTCAGTGCTGGCAGTGATATTGAAACGTAGCCAATAGCTGCATTCAAAAGAATAAAATGGGTGCATTCAGTACTAAGGCCCTAGATTATCAAAGAAGCGCAACCGGTGGGGAGCTTGGTGATTGGCTATCCGCGGCGCCAATGAAAATCACGGATTTCAGGCTCACAGCTGATTTATGTGATTATACGTAGATTGGATATTTATAATCGTTATTGAAATGAAGTTAGCAAATAAACAATGGTAAAAGTGTGTGAAGTATTTGGGTGTACAACAACAGAATATAAAAGAATATGTATGCACAACTTTCCTAAGAATGTGGAACAGCGAATGTGGAAATGCTTGGATAGCTTGGATTATTCATAAACGACCTGGATGGATTTTGAAGACTAATAGCAGAATTTGTGAGGTATTTTATATGAATAATAAAATACTGAAACATGTTTTCTGATAATATGTGTATCATGTATATTCTATTTTGTTGCAGTTGCATTTTGTTCCTGAGGATTATGTATACACAAGAGGAAATAAAAGTCGAAAGCTGAAAATATCTGCTTCCTTCATTGTAAGTAGAAGAAATTAAAGATAATAAAAATCAATGTAATAACGTACGAAGATTTCGACAAACCCTACAATATTTGAAAGATGTAACAAATATTTTCATTTGGAAATGACAAAAAAAGAATGATCATGTATACACTATTCAAAAGCATTACCGTATGATCAAGTAAGCATTAAATTTTATACCATATTATTTTGTGTTACAATATTATATATGTCTTTTCTTCCAAATAATGTTTTATTTTTTTTTTCAGAACACTGCATCCTTTCAGCAGGCACAGGACTGTTCAGCAATAGAAAATACTCATAAAAAGGAAGATTTACAACAAAGTGTAAAATATGTGGAAGATATACATAATGATATTATATGCATACACAATACTATTGGTGATGAATATATATCTTGTTCAACTTCACCAACCGCACCGTCATCACCATTTCCAGTGGTGATGAGTAAGATAACCAAATCATCAATTTATTGCAAGAGGACATAATGGTAGAAAAAGAATTTGACAATGATTATAATAATGATACCATTGTTAAGGTAAAAGATGAGTTTTGTTCTACTGATGGGTTTTTTATGTTTGTTAAAGATTGTGGTTCACTTTATATATATATATATATATATATGTGTATATTTTTTTTTAGTTGAATGAAGTAATTGCTAATTTACAGGACAGCAACAATGAAGGATTTCTAAGAACAAAATTTATTTTGTGTTATTATAAGTTTAAAGTTTAATGTTATATAAACATGTTATATGAATATAAGTTATATATATTCAGTGTTATATATAAAAGGTTGGAATAAAAGTAAAATAAACATATTTTTTACTATTATAATTTATTTCAAAGACACTATAAAGTAGAAGAAATATAAAAATTATAAATGATTACAAAATTCGTAATTCCTGAAACATCCAAAATCATATATCATGTAACATAATAAACTATAAGTGCCCAGATTTAGATTTATTCTGCCCGTATATGACATTCAGTTATTTTTTTGTTTTATGCTTATTATACCTCCTTTCCATAACAGTCAATTGCAACTTGCTTTCTTCTCCATTTTGATAATCTTATTGAACATTTTACATAACTGCTGCAAGCCTAAGTTATGTTTAACTCTCAAGTCTTGAATAACTTGTAATGCTTCGCTACACTGCAATTTCAGTTGCTCAATTATATGATATTGTGTTTCAGAAACCAGTGGAAAAGGAAATGAACATCTTTCTACAATAACATATATCTGTAACATATATTATAACGCACAAGAACATTTAGGTTGATATTTTACACAATTATAAGCATACATTATATATATATATATATACTGATCTTCCCACAATATTTATTTGATACTCGAACAGAAGTAATATCAGTTTCGTTACATTGATTTTCACTCTTTTTTAAATAAGCTGGCTCCTAGAATAAACAAATGTCATATTACGATAATAATATAATCGAATTGTATCGTTTTCATAAAATATCGTACGTATCGACTCTGTCGACATTTTTCATTTACCACTCCAAAATTCTATAACTTATTTCAGGTTGATTCTAATGTTAAAATTATAATAAATATATCTGTGAGTGATGAAAGAGAGTATGCCTGACATATAGATACTTTGTTTACTCAATGGATCAGCTGTGGACCTTACATGTCAAACGGGAACTATGGAGGAGATAACGGTTGCGCTTTTTTGATAATCTAGGGCTTTAATGGGTGCATTCAGTATTACAATCGCTCACTGAGCGCTAAGTGAACTCTTGCATCTGATTGGTGTATATTTTTAAATCTAAAAGAATATACCAATCAAATATAAAAGCTCATTGAGCGCTCAGTGAGCGGTTGCAGTGAGCGGTGTAGCTGAATGCACCTAATGATCAGTGAATATTTAGTGATTCTCGCTCCTGATAATCGTTGGTAAATACTTCTGGGTCTATGAAGAATCTAAAAGAATGCTCCAGTCACAGATAATAATCACTATGCGCTCACTGATCACTTTGTTCTACTGAACGCAGCCAATGTAAATCCTTTGTGTTGAATGTTCATTGGTCGAGACGATCTTATGTTGTGCAAACGCATCTATGTTAGTTTGTATGCAATGGCCTTCACAGTGCGCAGGATTCGACATATCAGCGCAGCTGTAATACAAACAATTCTTATCGCACGATTTCTACTATGATCGCACATAGAAAAGAAATTCGCTGACTGTGATACTTGATAATAAAATATCTCGCGTTCACAATTAATTATGGCGGAAATAACAATAAGGAAGGCCAGACGAGAAGATTGTAAAACCATTAGAGATTTAATACAGGTAAATTTTTGCCGGCAATGAATTGCCGGTATGAATATTTTAAATAATATAAGATTTCCTGCGTACATGGATGTATTCTCTGTATGCGTTCGATATATTATTCTTTTACGATCGTTTTATTATTTTAGGCATTCCTTTTTATTATATTTGTCCATTTTGCAGGAATTATCGAATTACGAGAAGATGCCTGAACAAGTACAAGTCGATTACAAAAGTAAGTACATGTTGATGTTTTTACTATTCTGCCTTTGAAGGAGCATTTGATTTTGATTTGATTTTGAGAATATTATGTGAGCAAAATTTTTTTAGTCTTAGAGAAAGATGGTTTTGACGGAGAACCATTATTTTTCTGTAATGTGGCAACATCTGGTGAAAAAGTAATCGGTTATGCACTTTTTTATTATATTTACTCAACATGGGTTGGGAAAGCTATGTGTTTGGAGGACATTTATGTAACATCTGAGTTTCGAGGAAAACATATCGGTGATAAACTTTTGAAATCTGTCGCAAAAGTAAGTGTCAATTAAAAATATAATCATGTATCTGACTTGTATGCGTTATGTAATTGTGATATCTTTATAGGCAGCTATTGATAACGATTGCCGCCAGTTAGATTTTATTGTACTCAATTGGAACCCAGCTCAGGAGTTCTATAAGAAAAGAGGAGCCTGTGATCTGACTGTGAAAGAAAAATGGCATCATTATCGTTTTTATCTTAATGATTTAATGAAACTAGCATCTGATGCCTAGCTATGCTAAAAGGAAAATATATTTTTAATTAAGTTTGGTTTAATCAATATATATATTATATCACATTATGTACCAAATAAAATTAACTAGTTTATTATATTATTGAATTGTATCAAATAGCAATGTATTTACAAATTAAATTTTAGATTTAATATAATTTTTATATATACATTTATTCAATTATATCAGGAGTTATGTTGATCCTGATTCATTTATTTAAGATAATTGAAAACTGCCACAATAATGTTAATTATCTACTACTATCTTCATTTTTCTCCTTGTGGGTTGACAGATATAAAAGGATTATATTGGTAATTTATTAAAAACAATAATTTGTGAAAAGAAGTGTGAAGAGGTATACTCTGGAAGATAAATATGAAAAATCAGGAAAACCATGAATTCACTAATGTCAACCATTTCAGTTAAAAGTGTACTGCTCTTTTCTCCTAATTAAAGTTTTTAATATAAATTATCTGAAACGATTGTTCTATCTATCTGCAAAGGTCTGTTTTTCCGAGTTGTATGGATCGAAGTCTACCTCCGTCGATCATGAGCTGAAGCGACAAATAATTGATAGCAACTGGGGAGGATACGCCTTAGACTTGAACTTGTGGAAAGATAACAATTCGTCCGTGATACAAGTGAGACCGAGCGAAGCATCGCTCGATGATAAAGAATGTTGTGGTGCTTTGTCGGACAGACTGATAAGCATCGGTTTATCTTTCTTGACGAAATCACCTGAGAATGGTCTCTACGTTCTTGGTAAATTCGTTATGAGAAATAAGGTACCGTCGAGAGATTATAATACTGTAGTATACTACTGAGTTTAAAAATAATTTGAATATTCTTCTTGGTGGCTCTTTATGAATACAGCAGAAGTCCAATGAGAGAATTTTTAGGAATTTTCCAAAAAAGAAATTCTTTTATAAGTTCATTAATCATGTTCCAAATTATACCCAAAAAAGTGTTCAAACTCTTTTGAAACTCAGTCGAATGCAATAGCAATAGATCTCAGTATAACAATAGAAGTAGAATCATGATAGATCATATTCAAACACACTGTCATTTTGATACACTGCAACATTTTAAAAATATATTTGTAATAATTAAAAAATTTATATTATCCGGTAGAATATTTTTGAAACGTATAAAATATTCAATGAAAATGTTTATAAAGAGATGTAAATAAGAAATCAATATTGCAAAATATTAATCTGATGCTTCTTGTTTCCTACCAGGTAGGATGTTACACCTTTTCTCACTCCATTCTATTCTTCTCTTTACAGAATCTCATGGATATTACTGTGTTACGGTATCATCGCCATTTACAATATATTGACATCGCTCAAAATAACATCTCGAGCTTATCCGTTCTAAGCAGTCTGCCGTACTTGATGTACTTGGATGCGTCGCACAATAAGATCAAGTTCTCTTTAAGTTTCACGCCTCCTTGGTACCTCACTTATGTTGATCTGTCGTTCAATAATGTGACGGACATTGGTAGCTTGAGTAATTGCTGGAGCATCGTCAAATTAGATCTGTCGCACAACATGATAGAGAAGATTTGTGGCTTGGAGAATTTGAAGTAAGTGTATACGAAGAGAGTAGTATGTTGTTCTTGAAATATATTGCTAAAAGAAATAAGTGAATTATGGCAGAAAATCTCGATACGTGTCTCTCCCCCAATTACAAAATTTTATAATAATTTTTACGAAAATTCTCTTGTACGATATTTGGTACTTGGCTTGTGTGCACTCGATGCTTACGCGCGATTCGATTTCTTTTCCCTGTGTTATCCTAATTTTGTTTTATTTTGACTCCAGACACTTGCGGTACCTGAATCTGTCCTATAATCTCATCGAATGTATCGAAAACTTGGACAACCTGCATATACAGGAGTTACACTTACAATGCAATTGTATAACGTCGTTTAAATCAGCTGTACCGGGTCGTGGCGTGAACACATTATCTGATTTACGAACGATAATCTTAGCACATAACAGACTGTCGACCCTGCAATTTTTTAAAGTAATCGAGAGTTTCATATTCGAGGAGTTTCACAGCATCATTCGTACTTTTACGAGCAAATTGAATCACGCTTTCAGGACGCGTACAGCTTGCACTGTGTGGATTTAAAATTCAACAAAATCAACGATCTGCTGGAAATATTGAATCTGAAGGGCTCGATACGCGAAGTAGACTTCAGAGGCAATGCCTGTACGAAGTGGCCGAATTATCGAAATGTGCTGATATCTTCCATACCTAGTGTTAAATTCATTGATGGCGTCGAAGTACTCGCAGCGGAAAAGGTATCGAGATAATGGTTTTTATACGTATCAAATTTTATAGTAAAAATAATTATAAATTAACTGAGGAACGTATCGGTAGTCTGTCTTAACACTCATTACGTTTCATACGAGCTATTAATATTTTAGAAAAATTTAATTAGAAAAATTACGTTTGTGCTCCTTAACAAGATGAAACTACTGATAACACATTCTTGCACTACTGCAAAATATGGACAAATTGACAAAAATTTCATATAAAAATCTATAATATTCTCTCTGTGTAGTTGAGAGGAAGTTGATAATGGTAATTGTTAGCATATTATTAGGTCATTAAATATGAAATGTCCGATTTCTTTAAGTACTAGGTTTGACCGTCGATATCTCTGACTGATTTCACCTTTGCAGTTCTTGGTTTTTTTTGTTGTGAAGATACATCATCACCCTTTGAAACGCATGATTTTGTTTGTGATTATCTTTCAAATTGTCTTTGTCACAGCAATTTTTGTGTAACTATCGATAAGCTAAAAATTCGTGTTATTTTCGAATATGAGTTCCGTCGTGGAACCAATGCAGCACAGACAACTCGAAATATCAACGAAGTGTTTGGTGAAGATGTGGTTAATGAACGCACAGTATATCGATGATTCGAGAAGATTCGTTCTGGCGATTTTAATCTTGAAAGTGAGCCACGTGGGCGAAGCGACCCGAGATCAAGGTGGATAATAATGATCTGAAAGCTGTAGTAGAAAGCTGTAGAAGCAGATACATCTCAAACTACGCGTGAATTAGCAGCAAGGTTTAACGTTACTATTTCAACGATATTGGATCACTTGAAACAAATCGGCAAGTTAAAGAAGCTGGATAGATGGGTTCCGCATGAATTAAATGAGCGTCAGAAGAGCAATCGTCTCGAAGCTTGCTTTCTTTATTATCACGACGTAAAAGCGAACTATTTTTACATCGTATTGTTATGTGTGATGAACAACGAATTCTTTTCGACAATTGCAAATGTTCGGCACAATGGTTGGATATAAATGAAATGCCGAAACACGGTCCGAAATGGAATATTCACAAAAGAAAGCTAATGGTGTCTATTTGGTGGTCCAGCGCTTATATTATCCGCTACAGCTTTATGAAACCTGGTCGAAATCGATTACAGCGAGTGTCTATTGTAACTAACTGGACGAAATAATGAAGATGCTTGCGATTAAGCAACCGAGATTGATCAATAGAGACAGGCTAATCCTCTTGCAAGACAACGCTCGACCACATGTCGCACAAACGTTGCTCAAACTACAGGAGCTGGGCCTGGAAACTCTATGTCACCCACCATATTCACCTTGCATCAACTGACTGCTACTTCTTCCAGGCACTGGACCATTTCTTGCAAGAAAAATATTCAATTCTCAAGAAGCTGTGGAAAACATCTTCCGCGATTTCATCGTCATCTGCTTTTCAGGCTTCTTCGCCGCTGGCATAAATAAGCTACCGTTAAGATGACAGAACTGTGCCGATAGTTTAGGCGCATACTTGGATTAATTGTACTACTTTTGTTTGAGATACAGGGTGTCTTAAAAATATCGGAACCCCCGGGATAACTTTGCAGGATGCAAGTTTTCATGAAAAACATTAAATACAAAAGTTGTAGAAAATCGAGTAACGGACTTGATGGTGACCTTGAATTTGGCCTTGGCCATGACCTTCGAGGTCAGTTGGAGGTCAACTTGCGTTTTTTAAATGGGAACCCTTATTTTTTATTACTGTTTTTTCTACAATTAATTTGAACAACTTTTGTTCAACATTTTCTTATATGCCTAATATTTTTTTAGATATTTGAGGAAAACTCGAAAACTTTTTCAATATTTAACTTACGATATCTTGCCAACTATTTGTCGGAAGAAAAAATACTATTAGACTTTTTTATTCTACTTGGTTTCAAGGATACATTGTTACAATAGTGCCCTGATTTTTGTTAATTTGATGATTTTGAAATTTCCAAAAGTCAGTAAGTTAACAAAAGTCAGGGCGCTATTGTAACAATATATTCTTGAGACTAAATAAAGCAAGAAAGTCTAGTACCACCTTTTCTTCCGATACATAGTTAGCGAGATATCGTAAGTTAAATATTGAAAAAGTTATCAAGTTTTCCTCAAATATCTAAAAAAATATTAGGCATATAAGAAAATGTTTTAGACAAAAGTTGTTCAAATTAATCGGTAGAAAAAAACAGTGTAATGAAAAGTAAGGGTTCCCATTTAAAAAATGCAAGTTGACCTCCAAATGACCTTGAAAGTCATGGCCAAGGTCAAATTCAAGGTCACCATCAAGTCTGTTACTCGATTTTCTACAATTTTTGTATTTAAAGTTTTTCATGAAGATTTGATCCTGCAAAGTTATCCGAGGATTCCGGTATTTTTAAGACACCCTGTATAATAAACTAAACTTTTTTTATTCAAAATCGGACATTTCATACTTAATGACCTAATGTTATCACGCACGAAAAGTAGAGACGCTTCTATAGGTAACATCGGCCACGTTATTCGCACCGCCGGCCGACTTGACCGCTGCACGTAACGTAGCGAAACTAATGCTATTGGAGCAATTAAACATCAGCAAGATACACGCTCATGTTCAACCTTACGACGAGATCGCCCCGCCGTTGGTCATATTAACAGGCCCATCGGCGGTGAAGAAAATGGCATTGGCCTTGCACGTGACTCGAATGATCCCAGACAAAGTAATCTACCCCAAGTGGACAGTCACGTTCCAGTAAACATCGATATCTTGTAGACATCTAAAAGATATCTTATGAAAGATATCTTCAAGACATTTCTAAAAGATGTCTAGAAGTTGTCTAAAAGATATTTAAGTAGATTTTGAGGATATCTTTATAGAATTTCTAAAAAAATGTCTACAGACATCTAAAAGATCTCTTGAAAGATATCTTTAACATTTAGATCCCTAAAAGATATCTCTTCGGAAAAAATGTAAGATATCTCAAGACATTGCGAGATATCTTTTAGAAATCTAAAAGATATCATTTTGTTTATTTTGGGGTCTCTCTCTCCCTTGGCTCGAACGATTCTCTTCGGTATGTAATTCGCCGTAGGTGAGATACTGCCGTTGGCACACCACGAAAGAGATCTGCGAGGACGACGAGGAGAACGACACTTATGTCCTCGTGGACAGAGAGAGGTTCAATGACATGGCTCGGTGCGGCGAATTCCTGGTGATTCTAGACCTGTTGGGTCACAGTTACGGATTTCGTTAGTACAATACACAAGTCCGTCGCACGAAAAGCTTCTCAGCGACTAGGCATCGATGATTGTTTTCTCGTACGCAGACACGGATGAAATCGTCCCGTTAATATCCGAAAAGAAAATCGGCCTCACTCAGATGAATCTATACGCGGCTACGGAGATCTCTAGGCGATATCCGAACGTGAAGGCGACTCTCATGCTCACACAGAGCATGGATCTCCATCGCACCTGGGCGCAGGAGAAGTTCGACATTTATACGTGGATCAAAGACAGCGTGGAAGATCTGCTGGTCGTAAAGATAGGCAAGCGTGCCGATGAGAACGGAGTGGAAACCGCCAGTTGCATATTAGACTTCATCGGGGAGATTATAGACGAGGTTCGCAATTTGTTTATTCACACAATTTTCCGATGCAATGTACAATCGAGCGTATAAATAGCACCTGTCGCTAGATAATAGAATGCCTAGAACTGCCAAGTTATAGCACTTATATAAGGCCGCAAGGGACCGGGGCGACAACAACCGACATAATACTCGAAAGTAAGACGATGCTGCCGAAGGTTACAGTAGGAAGGAGCGAGTTTCTATCAAAGGCGAAGAAACATGTCATATACCAGAAAGAGAATAACAAACAATGCGTTATCAAATTATTTGAACAGCTATTATCCGAAGGACAGCACGCGGGAGAATTAAAAGTATGAAGAGCATGATGATTTCAAACGGAGTTCGTCTCATGCTACCATCAATGTTAACGATTAGGTATTACTGGACGAAGAAGCGACTATTATCATCGACGACGAGGAGACGAAGCGAGAGTTACACAGAACGAGGATGTTACATCGTCGCAGCACGTTGGAATGGTGGGACACTGTTTTGGAACGTGAGAAGGAAGATGATCTTAGTGAGTCGACGTCCAGTAATGACGCGACGGAGACGGTAAGTAACTAAGGCCTGGTCTACAATATGTGTTGTAAGCTGTAAGCCGTAAGAACTGACCAATTATAGCCGATTATTTTTGTAATAATCGACTGTGATTCGCCAATTCTTACGGCTTACAACTTACGACACGTATTGTAGGCCTTAATTCTTTGAGTCTTCTGTCATATCCTTTATTCAACTTTCTTATCTACGTCGTAGACCGTTACATTTTTCCGTCCTACAATCTTTATCGCAGCAATTTCAAATAAAAGAAACCGAACTTTCGAAAATTTTCTAATTTTCCATTGTAATTTTTTTAAGTTTCTCTTTGCGAAACCACTCTTCAAAATAGAACTTCTGGAAATTATTAAATAATTGAATAATTATTAATAAATTATCTTAACGAATATACCAAAAAAGTTGCCACTTTTCTTTCATTTATTGAATTTACAAATTAATTGAAAATATAATTATATGAAAAATTAAATTTTATAAAATAATAATATATAGTATTAACCTTTCATTTATAACAATTTTTATTTGCGTCTATCTTATTCTCATGTTAAAACATTTTTCTTAAGAAAAAAGAAATATTCTACGAAGAAACATACTAACAAGGGGAGGACGCATCGACCGGGAAACGGTTTGGTACGAAACTTACGGAGTTAATAGTACTTGACTACTAATAACTCATGGTAATAGCATACGACGCAATACTTCTTCATTTTCGAGAAAAAACAGTCTAAAGAAAAGAGCCAACAAAGTGTACGAGTTAATAAGGAGGGTATTCAACGAAGCGGCGTAGCGCAGCAGCGAAGGTAATGGACTACCGAACTGTGAGGTTCGATCCCTGCTGTATGGTTTCTTTTTTATTCTGTAAGCATAAAAATGAAACAGAAAACATTAATAAATAATAAAACTGCGTTTCTTAAATGTATTAGTGTTTGTTAAATATATTATTAATGATTTAAATTGCAAAAAGACCGTAAATCTTATCTATAAAATATATAGTGTATGAGAAAATTTTTATGTAATAATCGCAATGGAAATAGGAATAAAAATATTGTTATGAAATATATAGGAGTGCTATTAACCCTTTGCGCCATAGTGGCGGCATTCACAAGTCGTCGTAGAAGTCGGTGCCGCCAGGCTGGCATTCATGATCGCCTGGCGTGCGGCACGGCAAACGAGGCTAATAATGAATAGAAAACTAGATAATGAAAGAAAACTATCCTCCCGATGCTAGATTCAAATGTTTAGATCAACTTACAGATATCAATGTTTATCGATCTCTTCGAAATCGGCCGACCGCAAAGGGTTAAACTAGTATGAGATAATTTTTCGTAATCTTATATCGTATATATAAAATATTTGTTTCTGTTACAACTCTCTATGTTGTGTTGAAGCTCTTTATTTCTTCTGGCAATCCCCCTCCAAAAGCTTCCTTTGTGTCATTCTAAATGATCGTTAAGAATGACGAAATGATTCGAGCGTCGGAACAGTCGTCAGTAGAGCAAGCAGCAGTGTGCGTTTACTAGTGATACAGAGCAGTCCGATGATCATATTTAAATTACATATATCATAACAATGTCAGAGCTTCAACAAGCAAAATAGTTGATATAGAATCGCTAGAAGAAAGATCTTTTGAAAATGAAGATTTTAAAGGTGAATTCACTAATGCTCTCACATATGCGAATTCTGTTTACGAGAGTAATGAATTATTATCGAAAATTCCTCCAGCGAAAATATATTTTTACTCCTATTTCCATTGCAATTATTATATAAAAATTTTCTCATACACTATATATTTTATAAATAAGATTTACGGTTTTTTTGCAATTTAAATCATTAATAATATATTTAATAAACACTAATATATTTAAGAAACACAGTTTTATTACTTATTAATGTTTTCTGTTTCATTTTTATGCTTACAGAATAAAAAAACCATACAGCAGAGATCGAACCTCAGCCGTCACAGCTCGGTAGTCCGTTACCTTCGCTACTGCGTTACGCCGCTTCGTTGAATACCCTCCTTACTATCTCGTACACTTTGTTGGCTCTTTTCTTTAGACCGTTTTTTCTCGAAAACGAAGAGGTATTGCGTCGTATGCTATTACCATGAGTTATTAGTGGTCAAGTACTATTAACTCCGTAAGTTCGTTCCAAACCGTTTCCCGGTCGATGCGTCCTCCCCTTGTAAGTTTCCAAAATAAAAAGAACCAAGGCTCAGAGAGTTAAATACTTTCATAATTGCGGGAGATATCAGAGTATATATTATCTTAAGCATTTCACACGTTTCGCATGTATGCGCATGAGTATTATTCTCATGTAAATATAAATAAAGAAGTCGCAGGTAGACGGTGGGAAGGCGAAAATGTTAAAGGACATGTACGTCGGGCTCGTTTTGAAAAGCAGGCAATTATATTTGGACTATCATGAGAGTCACCCCGGCTTTTTCACTTTAGTGGTAAAAATTTACATCTTTCCCATTGTATGTATAAAATCTTCGTTAAAATTAATATACTACTATGTAACATACACATCGTCATTACATGTCGTAGTTACTCATGGATGATTACACAGAAGCTCTCGATTCACTTCTTGATTTTATACAAGAGCTATGCGCAAATCAGTCTTATAGGAAGCCGATCTTCCTGTCAGAAATAAACCATTTCACGCAGATTGCAATTCCTGCCGCACTCGAGAATATCGTTAATGAAACAAGAGAGTTTGTATATACTATCAAATTTTGATGAAATTTTTCAAGTTCTCAACTTCAACTTGAAGTTTTCTGCCCTATCTTAAATAAGTTATGTGTATACACCTCTGATTCTCGTAGAAATTTATCGATATCAAAACGTCAGCAGAAAACGGTATTTAAGACACACAGAGTCATATCATAGAATTGATGAGCGGACAATTATCACTAAACCGTGGAGAATTCGAACTTACAATAATCGAAATTACGAACAATCAAGGACGAAGTCTCGCTATGATTATCGCTTTATGTATGAATACAATAAAGAGGAAAAAAACAATTTTAGATACACTTGCAACTATTTATAAAAAATAGATTGCGCAAAATTTACAATCATTAATATTATGCGCACGATAATAACAATAATGTATCGATATGTAGATACGAAAAGTGAACACATCTTGAAGAACAGTTTTGAGGAACTTGTCACCTGTTTAAAAATATGCAAGAGAGAGAACGTAAAATGTTACATTCTTGTATTGCATTTGCCTATTGTACTTGTATCATTGACCTATTGTACTTACATTGCGTTTAAGTTATTTTTGCATATATATTAATAAATTATGTCAGCGCTTTACAATGCTACAATAAAATAACACAAAATATATTTAGCGCACGGATCTTTCGTCATCTATATAATCATATTTTATCTATACAGGGTGAGGAAAAAAGTTGGAAACCCTTAAAAATCTCGAGATATAAATTTTACAGAAAAATGTTTCAGATAAAAGTGGATATAATGCTTAAAACGATATAAAGATATGAGGCTCAAAACGATATATTTACTGATCCTATCAATCAGTTTGAGCTTGAGTGGCGTTGCCAAGGTCAGGTCAAGATCAACTTGTTTTTTTAAACAAAAACCCCAATTTTTTTGACAATAGCACAATAGTAAAAAAGTCTAGTACCATTTTTTCTTCTGACAAATAGTTAACAAGATATCGTAAGTTAAGTGTTGAAAAAATAATCAAGTTTTCCTTAAATATCTCAAAACATATTGGGTAAATAAAAAAAAATGTTTCAGACAAAAGTTGTTCAAATTAATTGGTAGAAGAAGATGATATAGTAAAAAATTGGGGTTTCTGTTTAAAAACAATGAGTTGACCTTGATTTGACCTTGGCAATGCCACTCAAAGTCAAACTGATAAGATTAGTAAATAGATCGTTTTGAACCTTATAACTTTTGTCTGAAACACTTCTGTAAAACTTATATCTTTCCAGATTTTTAAGGGTTTCCACCTTTTTTCCTCACCCTGTATATGTATTTATATCTGTAAGAAATTCAAAAAATTTATTTCCAAATTTAGAAATTTAGAGATAAATTTGGAAATAAATTAGAAAATTTATTTCTAAAGTTAGAAAATATATTTCAGAATTTCAAAAAAATTTTTCTATTTTATAAAAGTTATTTTTCTAGATGTATATATACAGGGTGGACCATTTTAACCTTTAATGGAGAATAACTCGACCGGTGAGCGAAATAATGAAAAAAGTTTCATACAAAAGTTGTTGGACAAGGAGGGGGACGTATGACCATATCCTTGAATTTGACCTTGACTTTGACTTTAGGGGTTATTTGAAGGTCAAATAACATTTTTTAAATGGAATTGCCTATTTTCGACCCCGGATTTGGAAAGAGCGGAAAATTTTAGAATAAAATATGGTATGATCGATAAGATCAAATGTCATGTTTTGAGGTCATTTCAAAGTCAAAAGGAACTTGTACGTGTATTCATGCGAAAATCGTATCTGTATACGGGGATTTCTAAATTATCTTCTACACTTAGCATTACCCAGAGACAACGACGTGGACGTGGTAGAATTCTGCCTCTTTCGGGGTGCTTGTTTAGAGTGAGTCCCCTTGCCTCTCACTATGCATACTTTGCTATTGTTAATCTAGCTATTCAAAAGGTTTTCGAAAGTTGCACCGTTAGCATTTATGCAATAATTGAGCCTTCTTTGGAAATGGGCCACTGTGCTGAGCAAGACATTTCGTGGAATCGTTTCGTCTTAGTCGCGATTTTCCATATCTTCTCTTGTTGTTGGTTCTTCTTTGAAAACAACTTCTTTCAAATAGCCCCAGAGATAAAAATCGAGTGACGTCAAATTAGGAGAACGAGGAGGCCATGCAATCGGACCCTCTCGACCAATCCATCGGTTCGGGTACCTTTCATCTAAAAACCTCCTGACTATACGTGCAAAGTGCGGTGGTGCACCATTCTGTTGGAAGAACATCCTTCGCCTGGTTTCCAAGTCTACGTTCTCCAACAAATGAGGCAATTGGTCTGTGAGCAAATCGAGATACGTATTTGCATTCACAGTACGTTCGAAAAAGAATGGACTCACCAAGTATCCATTAACAATCAACACCGCTGGAGCCTCAATGTCTGGTGCGGGATTGTTAATGGATACTTGGTCGGTCCATTCTTTTTCGAACGTACTGTGAATGCAAATACGTACCTCGATTTGCTCACAGACCAATTGCCTCATTTGTTGGAGAACGTAGACTTGGAAACCAGGAGAAGGATGTTCTTCCAACAGGATGGTGCACCACCGCACTTTGCACGTATAGTCAGGAGGTTTTTAGATGAAAGGTACCCGAACCGATGGATTGGTCGAGAGCGTCCGATTGCATGGCCTCCTCGTTCTCCTGATTTGACGTCACTCGATTTTTATCTCTGGGGCTATTTGAAAGAAGTTGTTTTCAAAGAAGAACCAACAACAAGAGAAGATATGGAAAATCGCGACTAAGACGAAGCGATTCCACGAAATGTCTTGCTCAGCACAGTGGCCCATTTCCAAAGAAGGCTCAATTATTGCATAAATGCTAACGGTGCAACTTTCGAAAACCTTTTGAATAGCTAGATTAACAATAGCAAAGTATGCATAGTGAGAGGCAAGGGGACTCACTCTAAACAAGCACCCCGAAAGAGGCAGAATTCTACCACGTCCACGTCGTTGTCTCTGGGTAATGCTAAGTGTAGAAGATAATTTAGAAATCCCCGTATACAGATACGATTTTCGCATGAATACACGTACAAGTTCCTTTTGACTTTGAAATGACCTCAAAACATGACATTTGATCTTATCGATCATACCATATTTTATTCTAAAATTTCCCGCTCTTTCCAAATCCGGGGTCGAAAATAGGCAATTCCATTTAAAAAATGTTATTTGACCTTCAAATAACCCGTAAGGTCAAAGTCAAGGTCAAATTCAAGGATATGGTCATACGTGCCTCTCCTTGTCCAACAACTTTTGTATGAAACTTTTTTCATTATTTCGCTCACCGGTCGAGTTATTCTCCATTAAAGGTTAAAATGGTCCACCCTGTATATATATATATATAAGCCTCTTATTGGAGTTTATTTTTTCTTCGATCGACACTATCATTTCAGTCCTTGTAACATTCGTTTCTTTGATTCTTCATTGTAACCATTAGTTCAAATGCGCGTCGACACAATATGATTACCATTAAAATTCACTGGGTTTGAACCTACTTGTAGACTTGCATCGCAATTTATATTTTGTACAGAAAAGTCTCGTTCAGTGAACGTAATCAAGGGATTTGTAACGAGATGAGGTAAAGAGAACATAAGTCTAGTTTGATCGTCGACATCGCACATTTTCGCAGTACCTGATTGTATCCATGTTTCTTCGTTCGCGTCGTCTCGATAATTCGTCTGCTTCATATTCGTATCTTGAGTTTGAATATGTGGCATGAAACTGTCGGATATTCCTGTAGCGTTTACATCTATGTTAAAAATATCTGAGCTGCCTTGGCATTTCGACTGAACTTCTAATTCTTGCTTCTCACTCGACATCGAATCATTCTGTTCGCACCTGGAAAAGAGCCAGAATAAGCCATCATAACTATTAAAAGGTGAAAGATTTCATCATGATAAATCCTACTCACTTCTTTTGAACTTTTTCTTTTCTTGTACTGCTTCCATCTGGGTCATGTATTTTATGATGGACCAACAAATTATATCGTTCCGCGAATCGTTTCCCGCATAAATAACAGCTGTAAGGCCTCTCGCCCGTATGAACTCGCATATGTCTCTTCAAGTGTGACGTTGACAGTAGAAACTTGTCGCAAATCTTAAAGAAAATATGTTTTACCGTTATTATATATTATGTATATATAAAATGCATGTGTACTTTTACAAATGTACATTTTACATATATTCACGAAACTGGGAAACTTACTTCACACTTGTGAGACTTTTTACCATTGTGAGATAACATGTGCATGTTGTACGATGTATGATGTATGAACCTTTTACCACACAATTCACATTGGTATGGAGTCTCACCGGTATGTATTGGTAAATGCCTTATTAATGCACCCTTTTGTGTGAAACACTTCTTACAATAGCTACATTGGAAAGGGTTTATGCCGTTATGCATTCCAATATGCACTTCCAAAGCATGCTTGTGTTTGTAGACCTGACCGCATTTTTCACACATGAATGTTCTTAATGTTAAATGTGTTCTGATGTGTGCTCTCAATTGCGTCAGCGTTTTCCATTTTGTTCCACAGGTAGAACACAAATGTTCTGTAGACTCTAAGCTGTGCTTTGATATTTTTCTTGATTTCTGTGAAGCTGGCGCACAATATGTCTTTGCTTGAGTATTCATGTTAACAATACTACAGTAGTTTACTTGTTCTCCTGAAATTTATATATATAAAATATAACTAATTTTTAACTAATAATTGAATAATATATATAATATAGAATTCTGCATTGTTATAATTACTATATAACAATTCCAGACTCTTCAGGTAAAATAAAATGCTTTACATCTTTATGTTGTTATAATTTTATGAATTAATGTAAAGAAACAGAAAATTATAAAGTAAAGCGACACATATGTATCGCTTTATCAAATAACAAAAATACAACTGTTTTACTTTGCCTCTAAAATAAAAAATCTGGTAGTTATTATATATCATATTGATAAAATATTTTATAAAAAAAAAGATTGAGAGAAGGGAAATATCGTTCTTTGATATTTTTTATAAATTATGCTTACCGGGTGAACTTTTCACATCAGTCTTGGCTCCTGCAGTATTTATACAGGCTTTATACGTATGTAAAAAGTTTTGTCTTTGTGTTTGATCATCTTGAGGTAGACTAGAATCTTTGATATTGACCTGAGATGTATCTTCTTTGCCTAAATGACTGACTTCCTTACTGTTTGCATTTGTGTTTTTGATAATTTCAGGACTATTATTCCCTATGACTGCGTCAATACTCAAAACACTCAAATCTTGATTCAATATTGCACTTTGTGGGAATATCTGCGATGCAATGAGTTTGTTGCTGATAGGTCTCAAAGGCAAAGTGGAGTTTGTTTGATTTACTGTATTATCAGTAACCGCTCCACTCTGCTCATTGAAATTCTCCATAAATTCATGTTCTTTGCTTTGCAATTCTTGCTTAATAGCTCTTTCTTTCCTGTTCCTTCTATATACCTTCAGGATTTCACAACGTATATTCGCTACTGTGCATTGAGCTTGCTCCAGCATTTGGAAAAGTTTGTAACATTGTAAACAGATATAAGTGCTGCGAAATTCCAAGGTGGTCGGTCGGAATACTTGTACAGCGAAATTAATGAGCGGCTCTCCGTTACGTTGGGAAGAAGTACAGATGTTTACACTTGACGAATCGTTGACAATTACATCGCAGATCAAGCAAAATAAATCCGACATTCCTGTCGTTATCATTCAGTCGAGTTCTAAGAACTTCAACTAATGCAGTGCATTTGTGCAGTAAGTCAGAGCGAGATAAGATATACTTGTTTCACTCTAACTTATTGCACCAGTGTGCACCACATAGTTCAGGAAGTTCTTCACAAAAGAACAAATCTGTTCTCTCTCATCACGATGATTAAAGCAAGATAGCAAAGTGAGCTGTATCTTTAAAAGTAAATTATCATTCTCCAGACATGATGTCTTATTAATTTACTCATCACGAAAATATTACACATGTTTATTTGTAAACACACGATCCATGATGTAAAAATTATGATACACACACGCACAACACGTGCACTCTTTTTCCACTTCTCTCTATCTACAGTACTCAGTGTCACAATGGTGACCCACTACGTGGGTCAAACCAATCTCTATCCTAACTGCTTTCACAATGCTGTCTGTTCTCGTGAACTGCATTATATTTTGTATACCAAAAACATGATTATCAGGTATATGTTTGACACTTCCTGGAGGAGAAAAAAAGAAAAAAAGATCATAAATACAGGAAGAGCAGTTAAAAGAAACAGAAAGTACAATATGCACTTTCTCCTACACTTTCCGCACTTACAGTCATGTATCACTCGCGTCTCAAAGGGAAAGGGATGAGAAACCAAACGCGGAAATACAATTAAAAAGAACAGATATTTCATGTGCGATTGATATCGCATATGATAATTTGCTCACTCCATCTGTAATATCTCATCGATATCTGAGTCCAAATCGGAATATTTCAACGGGGACATTTGATTTTCGCGCTGAGCCGCAACGAGATCTTTATCTTTCAGAGTTCGCGGGGCGGGCTGCGGAAAGAGCATGTTATTTTTCGCTTCGGGGCTTGTGAAACTCTGCATAAGACTCTCCGGAATCGTGTTTGGCAAACTGGTTGAGCTCAACAGCTGATTCCTTGCGTTGTAATCCGTCAGGTTCTGCAAATTCACGTGGGAGCGGAAGATCGTTTCGACCGAGCCCACAGGCGGCTTCCTCGCTATAGTCAACTAAAAGAATATTCGGGACGATTATTTTCTACCGATCTTAATCTTATCAATTCGATGAAATGTTTATCAACATTTGCACACTTCTCTCTCACCTGTTCTTGTATCTTCTTCGAGATTTCGGCGATTTTATCACTCTGCGAAGTCTTGAGGATGATGTTACCTGTGCTCATGGATTTTTCTTTCTGCAAGGCATAATTTCTCGCCTCGGAGGAGTTCAGGATGCTCCAATCGTTGTCACTCGCTTGGATTTTTTCTCCTGGATTATTTCCCAATGTCATCGCCTTGGTCTCTTCGTCTTCTAAGTCGAAAATGACCTTCTTCTTGACCAAGTTGCCAACTGAACCACTCGTTGCTTTCAAGACGCTTCTATTATTTTTTGGAGACAAGATTGTCTCTTCTTGCTGCGCGATCGTGTTGTCCGAGTCATTGTTCTCAGAAAGTTTCGATGTTGTCAGTTGCTTCCTGCCGATCGGAGAGTCTACTTTGCGGAAGTTACTATCCGATACGGTTATCTTCATGGACGAGATCTGTTTGATACTCTTCGGTGAGCTTTCGACGGAACTTGCAGAGGAGATATTCCGATTTGTGCTTTTATAATGATCAGCAATTAATCTTGGTTGCGTTGATGCTGCTTTCGAACTAATATAAACATCAGACCCATTTCTTATCGACGGGGAATTGCGTGCATTCTCAAATGTTTCTTCGTCTTTATATTTCCTAGGAAGGAGTTCGATCTTTTGCTTCAAACGCAATTTGGACGGCGTCGTGTTTCCCGTTTTCCGAACTGGTGCACGTTCATCTAAAAAGGAAAAAAATTTATTAAAAGATGAAATATATTTTGTATTAAAATATTAACCATTGAATATCATATTTAATAACCATTTAATAATTTATAATGTGACATTTTTCCTATATAATTTTTATAATATTTTATTAACAAAAGAATTTCTTTTATTAAAGAAAAATTCCAGATTTTCAGAACTATTGAATCATCTTGAAAAAATACACCATCATAAGATGATTGTTCCTATAATTCCTATTGGATAAATTTTTCTTTTTGATATTTCGAAAATATTCAAAACAATTAATATATAATTACACAATTATAAAAAAAAACTCCCGATTTTCAGAACCGTTGAATCATCTTGAAAAAATTGCGTTACCACTATAAGATGATTGTTCCTATAATTTCTGTTGGATAAATTTTTCTTCTTGATATTTCAAAGATATTCAAAGCAATTAATATAATTGCACGATAACATTAGTAATTATATACTCACATATATCAATTTATGACAAAATAATTTATAATAATTACCACTGTCTATATGGCTGCTAAGCGCCTTCACAGCCTTTGATCTGACGTGAGTGACTAGCTTGTGTAATGGAGACTTCTTCGTCTTTATAGTTTGTTCAGATTCCTCACGACTCGCCGATATCCTTCGAAGGACATCCTCGAGTATTTTCTGCTTTATTCGATTGTAATGCGGCAATTTCTTCGCGTTAATACCTTGTTGATGTCTCACAATGTCCATCTTTTGTTTAAACGTCGCTGCAGGTATACCTTGCCATTCAGAATCAATTCCTAAATCTCTCAGTCGGTTGTCGAGCATAGTGCGCGCGTCTTCCGGTATCAATGTTCTTCTTGCGTCGGAGGACTTCACCATGGATTTTACTTCGTATTGCTTCACCGTGACGTCATCGTTCGTTGTAACGTTTTCGCTGTCAGACTCCGACTGCGACATCGACGATGAAGATTCGGACTCTGTCATGGAACTTACGCTACGCTTCTCTGAGAATTCGGATCTCTTATTATTTTTCGTATTATCGGTAGGAAATATTCTTTTTCTTTCAATGTTATACTTCTTAATTACGTTCACAGGAAAGTCCTCTAAATCCTTAATATGGAAACTTCTATTCGGACTTTTGCGGACTTTTGCTTCGCTTACATCTTTCAATGTATCATGTTTCACTTTGTCTCTCATTTTTATAACAGTCTCTGATCTCTGCGAATTTTTCGGATTGGACTTTGCGTTCTCGCTGAGATCGGCAATCGAGCTTCTGGTATCTTTGCCTTTCATGATATCTTTTTCATTAGACATATATCTGTCACTATATTCTCGACTGGATTCGCTACCAATTTCTTCGATAACTATCTCGTTATTTCCTGTGTTGCTCGAGTTCTTACGATAAGTTTCATTATCTTTGGTATGGCTGATGACGTTATCGCGTCTCATTTTTAATATAGGTGATTCGTGATATTTTCCTACCATATCCTTTTCTCCGGCCCTGTGGTTGTTGTTTTGTATCTGCGAACTGCTAATTTCGCGTGACAGGCTGTTCAATTGCTTGCCTTGTTCCACCAACATGTTTGATTGATCTATAGACAGCCTTTCCAAGTCGTACACTTTAGACTGATATTCGGATTTCGTACGATCAGCCGTTTGTTGAGTCATTTTCAATTCCATGGTCAATCTTTCGATATCTCTGTGATGTTGGGCCGCCATGTCTTCCAGCTTGGCTTTCCAATAATTTTCTTGCGTTTGTAATTTCATTTGCATACTTTCTATGTCTGGAGTCAGCTGGAACATAATTTCACACGCTAGATGTAGCAATGTGTGTGTCGTCCTCTCACAAAGTAATAATATACAAGAGAAATTTTTATTCTTACTTTTTCGAGAAGTTGACTTCTCAAACTTTCAATTTCTCTTTCTTGTTGATTGATTAAAGATTTCACGTTCGCTTCTAAGATACTCTCGTTCATATTCTGTTCTTTCTCTCTTAATGCCTGTAAAGAAATTCACTTAATATTACAACATGATTCATAGTGAATATTATAAATAAAATTATTTAAACAGCAACATACGCGTATTTCATTAAATAACATATCCTTTAAGTTGCTGATATCTTCTTGGTACTTTCTTTGCTCTTGTTTGTCAGTTGTGGTAACATTGTATTCATTTTTTTTCATATTCCTGATATAGTCCCTTTCTGGATTGTCCAGCAATTTATCAGACTCATTCATTATTATTCTTTCAGTCTGATTAAGTCTCTCTTTCAAAGTTTTTATCTCATTGTGTAATTTTTCAGTCTCTGCTCGGTAATGTTCATGTACAGGAGAAGTAGATAAACACATGTCTGATATGTATGAATGTCGACGTGCTACATGAGCATTTACAAACAGAGTAGATACAAAAGTTTTCGGACAATGCGGACACTGGTATAAAGTATACAATTAAATGTTAAAAATATTGCAGTAATTTATAATGCATTATAATTATATAATTATAAATTATATAATGCATAATTTATAATCAATAAGATATATCACTCTTTATAATCAATAATCTTTATAATCAATAAGATATATCATATAATCTTTATAATCAATAAGATATATCACTCTTTTATATGCAAATCAATTGAAATAATGCATTTTACCTTATGAATTTCTCCAGTAGAATCACCAATCCTGGTTTCAATTAATTTAGACTTTTCTTTCGACTTTTCCTTCAGATTCTTTACAGTTTCTTGCAAGGTAGTAATTTCTTTTTTCATGCCAACATTTTGTTCTATTTTCAGTCTTAATTCATCCTTCAGTATTATTACACTGTGATCTAAGTATTGCTTGCAATATAATAAATACTCCACTGACAATTGTGCTAGTCTAAATAATTTAACAAAGTTAGAATCTAAGATTTTGACATCATATTCACTCTCCAAACAATAATCTATTACATTGTTGATATTCTCATCAATAGTTGAGAAATCTCTTTCACGTATTACTCTGTCTATATCTATGGCACCTGCAATAAGAGAAATTTGTTGGTAATAATTATAGTAATAAACAGTCTGTTCTTTCTCGAAAAGCCTCTGAACTAGTACAAAAAGTTGGAGTGAAACAGGCATATTCATTTTATTCCAATATTTATTGCATTCATTTAAAAGGTCTTCAGAAACGAACGGACAAACTCTGCACTGAGTCGTATATAAATTTCCACGTACTTATGCGATTCCAATCCACTCGTACTCTAGATCCATGCATGTTAAAGTAAAATCCCGACTCCCTGGCAAGTTTCGGAAAATCATGGCACCAATTGGTGCCAATTCGAAATGAGAATGCCATTGCGTCGGATGACGAATTTATTTACATATCGGGAACGAGTATAATAACCTCATTTATTGTACGTCATTTTTATACTTATGACTCATGAATATTTGCGGAATACATTTTGCATGTATCCACGTGAAATTTCCACTGACAAACATGACGATTCGCGATCATCAGAACGAGAGATTCACAAAGGAATTTGCAGAACGAAGTATATACAAACACCTGTCAAAATCGATTCATTCATTCATTCAATATAATGGTTCCGAGCAGAGTTATTACACTCCTTCTACGCCAATCACAACGATTTTGGAAATAAAAGAGTAACAGGGATAACGTGTACACTCAGAGGCAGGTATGGTCCCTCGGTGATGTCGCATACGCCTGTAAAACAATCGAAAGCGATGACAAGTATATACGCATACGCATATGGGCGTACTGTACAGCGCGAGAGAAGCGAAGGAGAAGTGGTGGGAGACGTTCCGATGTTGCATCCTTATCGCACGTCGCACGATCGAGAGAGAAAACATTACCAGACGTGTACGGTTAATGGTGTCCCCACAGCTGTCTCATTCACTCTATGCTTGAATGCAGGCAATATGAGTGAGACAGCTATAGAGACACCGCGCTGTCTCTATAGGTGTCTCGCTCGCTCTAATAGCCATGTATCGCGCTTTCCTCTTTTCTCCTTAGCAGAAATGCCGATTAAGGAGGGAATCCTGTCTGTAGGCCAGAAAAATAAGCTATTTCACGAATTTTTTTTTCGGAATCTAAGCAGACGATTGATTTCAAACTTGATAGAAATAATAATATATATTTTATTGATAAGAATGAATTTTTATAGCGTTATATGAATAATAATAATGTAGCAAATACACAAAAAATAACGTGACGTGTTTATACGCGCGCCGTTTCACGGTTTCTATAAAATCTCGAAATACGGTGGACTGAGACAGAAACGCAAGATAATTAATTAATTATTAATTATTAATTACTTCTGAAAAGACTGTGGGAAGGAGGGAGGGATAAATGCAACATCCTCCTTTAAATGCTATTTAAAATGTAGACTCCGCTCTTGAAAATATAAAAAGAAATTAGGAAACTGAATAATAATAAAAATTACAGTAATAATAACGAGACGCTATACAGCATCTCCTGAAACCAGAGAAAAAACCTTTTTTTTATATAAAAAAGTCGATCGATCGACTTCAGCATGCAGTTACATATATATTCGAAACATGTCTATCTATCGTGTGAACTAGCGAAATTAAAAAATATTAATTTTTTATGTGCACCGCGCTGTCTCTATACGTGTCTCGCTCGCTGTAATAGCCATGTATCGCGCTTTTCTCTTTTCTTCTTAGCACATGCCGATTATTATATTATATTATTATTATATTATTATTATATTATATTATTATTATATATATTATTATAATTATATATTATTATATATTATTATTATATGAGAGGGGGGGGGGGTGAGTGGGAGAGAGTGTAAGAAAGAGGTGAATGTGGGAGAGGAGAGTGTGAGAGAGAGAGAGTGTGTGAAAGAATGAGAATGTGAGAGAGAGATGGGCGTGAGAGAGAGTGAGAGAGAGGAAGTGCGAGAGAGAGGGAGGGAGAGAGTGTGAGAGAGAGAGAGTATGAGAGAGATTGTGTGAGAGAGAGAATGAGAGAGAAAAAGAGAGAGAGAGTGTGTGGGAGAGAAAAAGAAAAATAGTGTGTGAGAGAAAGAATGAGAGAGAGTGTGTGAGTGAGAGAGAGAGAGAGAGAGAGAGAGAGAGAGAGAGAGAGAGAGAGAGAGAGAGAGAGAGAGAGAGAGAATGTGACAGAGAGACTGGTCGAGTGACTGTGTCAGAGAGAGTGTAAGAGAGAGAGGATATGAGAGAAAGATTGTGCGAGAAAGTGTGAGGGGGGAAGTGAGTGGTAGAGAGAAAGAGAGTGGGTGAGAGAGAGAGAGAGAGAGAGAGAGAGAGAGAGAGAGAGAGAGAGAGAGAGAGAGAGAGAGAGAGAGAGAGAGAGAGAGACAGAGAGAGAGAGACAGAGAGAGATATATTATTATATATTAATATATATATAATAATAATATAATAATAATAATAATCATTATATTTATTAATATAATTATTATAATTATATTAAAAATTATAATAATTTTACTATTATAATTATTAATATTATTATTATGACTTTTAGTAATAAAAAAAATACAATAATAATAACGAGACGCTATACAGCATCTCTTAAAACTAAAGGTGTGACGCTTGAATCGCTTAGTAGCACGCGCTGTAGGCCATCTACGGCGCGTGCTACCAAGCGACTCAAACGTCGATCTCTGCCTTAAAAGCACCCTATAGCTATCTCACTCGCATTGTCTACTCGTATAAACAGGCGAGTAAGACGCCTGTAGGCGCTTTTAAGCGCGGTATGAAAGTTTTATTGACTCCGTGAGGAGTCTATCGTGGGGAGCAGTAAGATGTAAGCAGTAAACAAATCGACCAATCACAATCGAAATTTAAGGACATTTTAAAATTTACGAGAATAATTGATTGTAATTGGTCAGTTCTTTACTGCTTACGTCTTACTGCTTACGTTCATTTGTGTATGATAGCCTTAAGAAGAAAAGAAGAAAGCGCGATACATGGCTATTAGAGCGAGCGAGACACCTATAGAGACAGCGCGGTGTCTCTATAGCTGTCTCACTCATATTCCCTGCATTCGAGCGTAGAGTGAGTGAGACAGCTATTGGGGACACCATTAACCGTACCACGTCTGCTAATGCTTTCTCTCTCGATTGTGCGACGTGCGATAAGGATGCAACATCGGAACATTGGGTAAATTCAGTACTACAACCGCTCACTGAGCGCTAAGTGAGCTCTTGCATCTGATTGGTGTATATTTTTAAATCTAAAAGAATATACCAATCAAATGTAAGAGCTCACTGAGCGCTCAATGACCTTTTACATTTGATTGGTATATTCTTTTAGATTTAAAAATATACACTAATCAGATGCAAGAGCTCACTTAGCGCTTAGTGAGCGGTTGTAGTACTGAATTTATAGTCGATAGCGATCTCCCGTGATGGGTTTCGTTGGGTTTGAGGAGCTCATAATATACTACACCCAGCTGATCTCACCAAATACAGAACATGAGCTTGGAACCATGGATATTCGGCTTTACCGTCGATGTTGATGCATGGCCGGGCTTACCCTACGATTTTCTATGCTTCGGGTTATCGTAGTGTATCCACTTTTCATCGCTAGTCACGATATAATGCAAAAACCTTTCCTTCCTTTTCTGCCGTTGGGCAGCTGTTCAAACGTGAAAAAACGCCATTCGATATCTCTCGGCTTCAATTCGTACGGCACCCAATTTGCTTGCTTTTGAATCATTCCAAATGCTTTTAAACGTTTGGCAACTGTTGTGTGATCAACTCCTAATGATTGTGCAAGTTCATTTTGCATCTGACATGGGATCTTCATCGAATAATGCTTCCAATTCTTCGTCTTTAAACTTTTTCGGTGCGCTAGAGCGTTCTTTATCTTCAACATCAAAATCATTATTTTTGAAGCATCTAAACCAATCACGGCATGTTGTTTCCGACAGAGCATGGTCGCCGTAAGTCTCCACAAGAATTTTATATGCTTCAGCTGTAGATTTTTTTTTGAAAAAGTAATGTAGTAAAATTCCCCGCGAATACTCTTTTTTTGGCACGAAATTCGACATGTTTAACGCTATGAAAAAATATGTTGTTTACGCTTCGGCGAAATAACATATACTGTCACTTCGAGCCTAATGGTGGAGCTTCACAATGAAGTTGGCTGCGGTATTGCCCGATGCAAAAAGGCCCGATGCAAAAAGGCTAAGATAACACTATCTATCGGGAAACAGCGAGAACTTATTCAAGTTCCCAATAGTTAAAGCAAATATTTACGGAGTTTCATAAGGAACGTAAATAAACCGGGCTCATAAAGTCACACAATAAGAGTATGGCTCAATACTTTTGAACACATGTAAATATTATATGATTAAATAATTAGAAACTATGTAATTTCAAAATTTTGTAACTGTACTATTATTTGTAAGAATGTTATGTCAGCTATTTTATATAATTAATTATTAGAGCAAATCAATATATTGTCATGTATCTTAAAAAGACACTATGGCTCGAAACTTTTGCACGCCACTGTAAGTCTCCATATTCATATAATTCGGTTCATGAGATCCGGTAAACTTTGATTCTGGCTGCGATTGGCTATATCTGCATACAATAAGTCGAATTTAAACTAACCTTATCAAAACGTATTTGATCTATACTTATCGTCCAGGTCATTAAGATCAAATTGAGTAGAAAGACTATTATCTGTTTCTACCGCTCCAAGAGTATCGCTAACAATTCGTTCTTGTAATAATCTTTTCTTCCTGTAGGATTCCCTTTATTTTCAGAAATTTCGTATCTTTCTTCTAGAATTTTAGAATTTTAGGTGACGCATTACGTAGTAAAATTAATCTGGTATCTTCCTTCAGACATTTCCGGTCAAAAAGTTATTTTTACAAAAAAAAAAAGGAAAAAAGAGGAAAATGTATGAGAAAAGAAGTATTTTTATACAGAATTCCGATACAAATAATACATTGCTTGAAATATTTTTTCATATCTGCATTTGTTCTCGAGAAATTTGGCAAGAATGCTTTTTGGGTATAGTTTTGTTCTTCTTTTAAAAAAATTAAGCAAACAACAGTAAAGGTGGGAAGACCGGTGACCAGAAAATTATTTTGACTAACTTTAATTAAAATCTCACTATTATCAAGGAAATTTTAATTTTCTTCTCCTACTTACTGTGTTTGAATAATATTGAGAATTTGGTCATTTCAATTTCTTCTAATGTTCAATGAATATAATTTCCAATTTTTTATGAAATTAATTATACTATAATTATAATGTATTGGGTCCTCTACAACAATGTTCAGCGCAAACGGACATGGAAACAATCAGGTGAGCATGGTGACGCAATGCCAAAGGCCAGTTTGCACCCGATGAAGGTGATGCTCTCTGTTTGGTGGGATTGCAAGGGCATAATCTATTTCGAGCTTCTCCCCGCTGGCGAAACGATTGATTCGGACAAGTACTGTCGCCAATTAACCAATCTGAATCGAGAAATAAAAGAGAAACGTCCGATTTTGTCAAATCGCAAGGGAGTCGTCTTTCATCACGACAACGCCAGACCACACGTTTCGAAAAAGACGCTGCGCAAACTGAAGAGCCTGAAATGGGATGTCTTAACGCATCCACCGTATTCTCCTGATATCGCACCATCTGACTATCACTTGTTCCGGTCATTGCAAAATTATTTAAATGGAAAAAACTTTGACTCTTTGGAGGCCTTAAAAAACGGCGTCTCTTCGTTCTTCGAAT